CAGAGATCACAAGTAGGCAGAGAGGCAGGCGGGGGGGGGGGGGAAGCAGGCTCCCTGCTGAGCAAAGAACCCGATGGGGCTCGGTCCCAGGACTCTGGGATCATGACCTGAGCTGAAGACAGAGGCCCCAACCCACTGAGCCACCCAGGCGCCCCTAGTCTTCTAGTTTTAATTGAGTGTCTTATATAATTCCATTTTCTTTCCTTGGTGAGTATATCACTTACACTTCTTTTAAACATGGCTGGCGTGGTTGCCCTAGAGTTTTCAATATGCATTTACAACTAATCTAAATCCACTTTCAGATAACACTAGACCACTTCATGAGTAGTGTAGGTACCGTTTCACAATATATTCCCAATTCCTCCCTCCCACCCCTTACAACTTTACTATTATATATTTCATTTTATCCATAAGCTATAATCATCCAGTACAATGCTGCTATTCTTATTTTGAACAGTAATCTATTAGAACAATTTAGAATAAGAAAAATAAATTATTTTATCTTACTTTTAGTGATTCCTTCTCTAACACTCTTCCAATTCTCATATAGGAAAAGTTTCCAAACTATATTAACTTTTTTTCTTTCTGAAGAACTTCTTTTAACATTCCTTGCAAGGCAGGTATACTGGTGACAAAATCCTTCCATTTTTGTTTGCCTGAGAAAGCCTTTATATCTTCTTTATTGTTGGAAGGATGATTTTGCTGGATATAGAATTTTAGGTTGCTGGGTTGTTGTTGTTGTTGTTGTTGTTGTTGTTTTTAATTTTATATCACTGTCTTCTTGCTTGCAGTTTCTGAAGCAAAATAAGAGGGAAATCTTATCCTTGGTCCTCTATAAGGTAAGATGTTTCATACTTCTGGATTCTTTCAAGGTTTTCTTTTTCTCTTTGACTTTCTCTGGTTTGAATATGAAATGCCAAGGTATAGATTTTTTTGGTATTTATTTTTACTAATCTCTGAGCTTCCTGGATCTATGGTTTGGTGTCTCATTAATTTAAAAAAAATTCTCAGCCATTATTATTTCAAATATGTCTTCTGCTCCTTTCTCTCTTTCTTCTCCTTCTGATAGTCTTACTATGTATATGCTATACGTTTTGTAATTGTCCCACAGTTCTTGGATACCCTGTTACTATTTATTTATTTATTTATTTATTTATTTATGTTTACTTTATCATTTGGGAAGTTTCTAATGACATATCTTTACAGTCACTGATTCTTTCCTTGGCTGTGTCCAGTCTACTGATGAGCCCATCAAAAGTATTCTTCATTTCTGTTAGTGTTTTGTTTTGTTTTGTTTTAGTTAAATTTCTAGCATTTCCCTTCGATTCTTTCTTAGGATTTTTGTCTCTCTCCTTACATCGCTCATCTGCTCTTTCTTGTTGTCCACATCTCTGTTAAAGCCTGAGGAGTTATGTCTCTTCCCAAACACCAACCCAGTCTAGCACCAGCTGGTGTCCTAGAAGTCAGTTCTATTCTGACACTGACTATGCAGAATCAGCACCAGACTTCCACAGGTTCAAAGCTCAGTCCTGCAAGACCACCCTCATTTCAGATACCAGCCACAAGAACGGGGCCCCCAGTTTACCCACAATTCTCTCTGACTTGGCTACAGAGTCAGGGGTTCCATGACCACCCCCTCAGGTTTGGTCATTTACTAAAATGACTCAGAACACATCAAAGTGCTTTCCTTATTGTTACTGGTTTATTATAAAGGCCGCACCTCAGGAACAGCCAAGGAGAAGAATGCATAGGGCAAGGTATGGGGGACGGGTTTGGGGGGCAGGCGGAGACACAGACCTTCCATGCCCTCAGCAAGTGGTTCACTCTTCCAATTCCTTGCCAATCCAGAAGCTCTCCAAAACCTGTCACTGATGGGCTTTTGCGGAGGTTTCATCATGTAAGAATGACGATTATTAACCCAATCTCCAGCCCTTCTCCCTTCCTCAGAGGGTTGTGGGGGGTGAGTTGAAAGTTCCAGACTTCATTTGTGACAAGGCTTGGTCTTTCTGGTGACCCATCCTAAAACTACCTTGGGCCTCTTAGTGTCACTTCAGTGGAACAAACACATTCCTCTCACCCCTACCACTCAGGAAATTATAAGGGATTTAGGGTCTGGAATTAAAAATAAAGACCAAATATCTTTCTATGATAATAAAGAACCCTTACTATATTAATCAAACAGCTTTTAAATTCCTAGTCTCATCATTCCCAATTCCCTGCCACATCTTAGCCTTGTTCTCAAACTTATTTTGCCTCTTTAGATTGTGTTTTTTCCTGGCCTTTTAGCAAGTTTTGTACTTTTCACTGAAAGCCAGACAGGATGTATCAGATAACAGGAGCTGACCTAAATAACCCTTTAGTGTGAGATGCTATGTTTACCTGACTAAGAGGCTGTGTTTGATGTTTTCTGTACTTGTCAGAGGCTTTGATTTGATCTAGTGTCTTCATTTTTGCCTCCCCTGTGGTTTTTGGGTTTCCCTAGAAACTCCCTCTTAAATAGAGTCATAATCTACTGTTACTATTCTAGAGTTGTGTGGATGTGGTGGTAACATACTGTGAAGGAGAAACATTCCATGATATTATGATTAAATCGCAGGGCTTGTTTTTCTTTCTGATGGGCCTGAAACTGGACTGTAACTTACAGAGGAGTTTCTTGGAATCCCCACCCCTTTATTTTCTCTCCTATGATGATAGACAGGAAGGCTCAAGGGGACTGAACTGTCTAATTCCCCTTGAGCAGGATCAGATTGGGTTCTGGTAGAATGACTAGTTCCCTTTGAAGGCAGGCTTTTTCATACAGAACATTCTGGGTGTATTCCAAAATGGTTACTCCCTCCCTCCCAAACAGGAGAGGAATTTCATGTTCACCAGGAGAAGCTGGCAGAGCACCTGGTGGAAAATCAAGAAACCAGGAGGACCCCACTAAGACTAGGCTCCCAGGAGTTTTTAACTCTCGAGTTAGTCCATGCTCAGTCTTCAGCAGTGAGTCGAAGGCAGTTTAAGTTTTCTTAAGGTTTCAGAGATTTCCACTCCCTGTACACTGATTGTCTACATCGGCCTGTCTCTCCAGTTTTCAGGCTACAATTTGCCCTGGGACCCCTATTCACTGATGGACCTAAGGAGAGATTTTCAGTTGGTTCGGAATTTCTCTTGTGGGACGTGGAGTAACAATATCTAAGCTCCTGACATCGTGGAACATACTGTGTTTATTTTTTTAAATCTTTTCCCTCATCATGCAAGTAAAAATACTTAGAAATTTGGACAGTAAAAAAGAAGAAAATAAAAATCACCTCTGATAACCCAATCTGCAATTAATCCTTGTTATCATTTTTATCTATTTCTATCTGTTGTATTTCCATTTGCATCCTTAGTTTTATTTATTTATATAAAAGGATGCATACAACTACTGGGTATTTACCCTAAAGATACAAACGTAGTGATCCAAAGGGGCACGTGCACCCAAATGTTTATAGCAGCAATGTCCACGATAGGCAAACTATGGAAAGAACCTAGATGTCCATCAACAGATGAATGAATAAAGAAGATGTGGTATATATATACAATGGAATACTATGCAGCCATCAAAAGAAACAAAATCCTGCCATTTGCAATGACGTGGATGGAACTAGAGGGTATTATGCTTAGCGAAATAAGTCAATAGGAGAAAGACAACTATCATATGATCTCCCTGATATGAGGAAGTGGAGATGCAATGTGGGGGGTTTGGGGGATAGTAAAAGAATAAATGAAACAAGATGGGATCCGGAGGGAGACAAACCATAAGAGACTCTTAATGTCACAAAACAAACTGAGGGTTGCTGGGGGGGAGGGGGTTGTTGGGAGACGGTGGTGGGGTTATGGACATTGGGGAGGGCATGTGCTATGAAGTGAGTGCTATGAAGTGTGCAAACCTGGCAATTCACAGACCTGTACTCCTGGGGCTAATAATACATTATATGTTTATTAAAAAAAAATTTAAAAAATTTTTTTAAAAGGACGCATACAATGGAGTATTGGCTTTCTCCCACTGTGAAGGACTATTTCTGCAGCTTCTCCAAAACTGCTGCTGAAGATATTATCAGTGTTGAACGTCTTTTATGAGGACACGAACCCGGTGATGAATTCCCTTCAGGTCTTACAGGACTGCTGGAAATTCTGCTTCTCTGAAAGACAGGAAGCCGACAGACATCCTCTTATGATCATCTCTGTGCCTGTTGTAAAGAGGGGTCAGCAAATACTAGTTGACTGAATGTATGAAAATGTCCCCTTTTCTAGCTACAAAAACTATGAAACATCCTCTCCCCCTCTTCCTCAGAGGCGGGAAAGCTGACGGGGAGATTGCTCAATGAGAATATTTTAGGGGTTTAGTGTATTTCTTTTCCTTCTCTTTCGAAAGGATTTTTAACATTCCCATATAGTAGCCTTAACGTTTAAAATACACATACATTTTGGAAATTGACAGGATATAAACAACAAATAAAATAATGAGGGACTATCTGTCCTCCCTCTTTACCTACCCTGAACACACGGAGGGAAAGACCCACAGATAAGGAGGGGCAAGTGAGTTGACAGCACTTGCAAAGGCCTGCAGGAACCTGGAACTGTACCAAGCCTTTACAACTCAGTGGTGGCCATATTTATCCCTGTTTTATTGATTGGAGAATTAGAATCAGAGCGTTTTATAGAACTCGTAAGTCGGGGAGCCAGGAGAGAACCCATTCGCTCATTCATTCATTCATTGTATTTTTACTGAGTGCATGAAAGGTACGCCACGCGCTGTTCCAGCCCCTGAGGACCCCGCAGTAAACAAAAAGCCCAAACCCCGGGTCCCTTCCCCTACCGAGCTCCCGAGGGGAGGGTGCGGGGGGAGTGGTAAAGAGGCGGCTCGGTCAACGTCAGTAGAGGAACCAGTTGGGGCTCCGCCCCCGGCCCGCGCCCGGGCTTTCCACCAGCAGCCGGAGGCCGGCGCTCAGCGCGCGCACCCCCATCGCGCCCTCCAGACACCCGCCGGGGAGAAAGTCCCGCGGATCGCCCCGGTGTCGTCCCCCGGCGGAGTCTGCGGTCCGCCCCGGGGCCCACCGCCCGCTCCGCCCGCCCGCGCCCGCCGCCAAGGCCAGGGCCGCCCGCAGCGCGTATCCGGGCCGTGGGCGCCCCAGCCGGAGGCGGAACGGCGGGGGCGCAGGCGGCGGCCCGGAGGCGAGCACCCCTGCGGGCAGCGGCGAAGCGACCTTGCCGAGGTAAAGGGCTGACGGGGTCGGGGCTTGGGGACCGCTAGGGCGCCTGACCTCTCGGCAAACGCCGCCTCCCCGCACCCGCTTCCCGGAATCCCCCGCAGGCTCCGTGCCCCCCGCGGACTCCGCCTCTGCCCGCGCGGCTCCCTCCCCGCTGGGCTCCCGCCCCCCGCCCCCACACTCCCTCCGCCCCCCGCCCCCACACTCCCTCCGCCCCCCGCCCCCCACGCCCTCCCCCGGCCGCAGGGCGGGGCGGCCCGGGCGTCCTCCGCTGTCCCCGGCTGTCCCCTGCGTGCTCCGCTCCTCGCCGCCCCGGGAGCTCTCGGTCTTTGCACCCGGTCCCGCGCCCCCTCCCCCCGTTCCCACCAACGATGCCCGGGACACCCGGGCACCGGCGGCTGCGAGATGTGAGCCGTCATGAGTGTGAGGGTCAAATGCCTCAAGATCCTCTGGGCCTTGCAGAACGGGGCTATCGGCTCGGGCCTCGGGGTCAGGGTCCGCGGCCCGCCCTCGGCGGGAACGCCCGGAGTTCACCAGCCTTGGCGGGCGTGTGGAGAGGGTCCCCGAGGGGCGACGGCGGCTGGGGTGTCCGGCGTCCTTGCAGACGCCTCGCTAGGAAGCAGAGGGGCGGGTTGAGGGGATAGGGCGGGGAGACCGAAGAGCGGCCCTGCTCCCGGGCCGGGGCATGAGGGGAACCGAGAGCCAGTCGAGGCTGGAGTTTCCACCGGGAGAAATCAGCCTGTTCAAAGCTGTCACCAATTCCATCCATCAGCAGGCTTAGGTGGTGAGCGGCGGCTTTATTGAACAACGCTAGGAATCCCAGGTCATTTTTTTCTATTTATTTATTTACTTACTTACTTACTTACTTATTTATTTTTAAGATTTTATTTATCCATTTGACAGAGAGAGAAAGAGAGCACAAGCAGTAGGGGGGGGCGGCAGGCAGAGAGAAGGAGAAGCAGGCTCCCCAGGAAGCAGGGAGCCGCAGTGGGGGTTTGATCTCAGGAACCTGGGATCATGACCTGAGCTCAGCAGAGGCTGGGCCGCCCAGGCGCCCCTCATTTCTTTCTTTTAATATTTGTTTGACTTCCTTGCTTTTGTTTGGGAGGAGGTCTAGAAGATAGTGTAACAGGCCAGAGGGGCCAGAGGCCGATCTGAGCCAGCTGTGCGGGGAGGTGCAGAGCCGCGCTCTGGGAACCTGGAGTCCGGCCCCGCTCCGCCGGCGTCCTACTCACTGAGCCTGGGGGCTACGACGCCCAGGCTGTCCCGCTGTCCCACATCTTGGCACAGTTTCTAAGTACCCGCCCCTCCGCTCACTTGCTGTTCAGGTTTAGGGAACCAAATGGGTGGAGGCGGAGGTCACACCAAAATCTGCGCTAAAAAAAAACTTTTTTTAAACTCTCCTTAGCTGTATGGGCTTCCTTGATAAGGTTTGACCTGTTTGTTCCAGGAAACGGCTTGAACTTTTAAGTTCTATAGTTCACAAGCTGGCTTTCTACTTTAAAACATCAAAAAATCTGCCTGGCTCTTTTATTCTTACCCATATTTCCTCTGAAGTTCCTCTTGTATTTATTGAAAAGTTAAAATCTCCCTGAAATTTGGTTCCTGTGATTTGACAAATGGTAATTTGTCTAAAAAAAAAAATTAGAGGGACGCTTGGGTGGCTCACTAGGTTAAGCATCTACCTTCAGCTCAGGTCATGATCCCCGAGTGGTGAGATGGAGTCCCACTCCCCGCGCTTGTGCTCTTCCCTCTCTCATTCTGACAAATAAATAAATAAATAAAATCTTAAAATGGAATTAGAACCACATCACCGGAGATAGTATTAGGAGTAAAACGTTTATTAAAATATATATTTCATCCTCCCACTTGCGCTCAGCGCTGAACTAACTCATTTTCCTGTTACATTTATAAGCCTTCAAATGGTTGAAAAATCCATGGCATCGATCTTCTTTGACTACCTGTCATCATATGTCACCAAAGCTACAATGTCATGGAGTCTAAGACTCACTTTTATATTATGTAACCAAGTGAGAAAAACACACATTCTGATTTCAGAGCTGTTTGGATGTAAGAAAGAAACGGGCCGTTTATAATCTGTAAAATGTAATCTGAGCAGAAGCGGAGCCTGACAGTATTTTCCCTGAGGATTCGTCATTCCTTCTGAGAGTGAAACTGATTGGTATGCAATTCTGGGGTGCCTGGGTGGCTCAGTCCTTAAGTGTCTGCCTTCCGCTCAGATCCTGATCCCAGGGTCCTGGGATCCAGCCCCACACTGGGCTGCCTGCTCAGTGGGGAGCCTGCTTCTCTCTCTCCCACTCCCCTTGCTGTGTTCCTGCTCTCGCTGTCTCTCTCTCTCTCTGTGTCAAATAAATAAATTTTTAAAAATCTTTAAAAAAAATAATGCAAGAAGAATAAAGGAAAACTAGTTCTTTGAGAGAGCTGGAGAGCTGAAGTAAGAGTCCAGAAGTCGACTGAGAAGTCAAGAGAAGGGAGGAAGAAAGAGAGAAAGAGAGAGAGAGGGAGTAGTTGAGAGCCACTAAACGTTTTCTCCAGAGCTGGCGGGAAAATGAGGACACTTAGTTTCCCCGTAAGCCTGGGTACACGGGAGAGAGAATCTTAAGCATTGTCTTTGTTCTTGCTGTTTTAATTCTGAGGGTTTTTTTCTTTAATATAGTTAAAATTTGGGGCCCCTGGTGGCTCTGTGGGTTGAAGTCTTGGTTTCAGGTCAGGTCCTAATCTCAGGGTCGTGAGATCAAGCCTCATCTGGGGCTTCAAGCTCAGCACAGAGTCTCCTTGGGATTCTCTCCCTCTTCCTCTCCCTGGGTCCCTCCCTCCCTCTCTCTCAAATAAATAAATAACATCTTTAAATATACTTAAAATTTGAGTTGAACCTGACCACCAGAAACTATACCAGTAAGTCAACAACGATTGTAAAAAGCCTAATAAACAGGAAAGAAGATAAGAGTGCCTTGACTGTACTTGTCCTTCTCCTTCTTTGAGAGAGGGGCAGTGGTCAGAGGCCGTGAGATGGGGAAATTCAGCTGGGCAAGTGGGAGCAGCAAAAGCCAGTGCCAGAATCAGGAGAACCAGCCAGAGGCCCAGTGGTTGACCCTCACTCACCTCTCCTCCAGAGGCAATGAACAGAATCTTCCAGAAGAAAGCAGGGCTGGGGTAGCCTGACATCTGTCTCTCCCTTGACTGAGCTCCCCTGAGCCCAGAGCCAGTCCTGTGGGCTCAGGAAACAGCCCAGTCTTTACAGAACAAGCTGGAAACAGGTGTGGAAGTTAAGAAGATAAGGAGGTTAAGATTTCACTGCTGTATCACAGTAACAGATGACAAAGCCACCTAAGTGCCAGCAAGGTGACTGAAGTGGTGGGGGAGGGGAGTGGTAAGGAAGGGGGGAAAAAAAAACAACATAGCTTGCCAGGAGTCTTACTACAAAATTACTATTACTCCTGAGTTAGGAGAAAATTTCTTCCAATAGCCTTATATTCTACAACTTGGTAAAAATATGACTTCACTAGAATAAACTCAAAGACTGTAATATTTTAAACTGGGCTGGAATGGGAGATCGCAGACTTTAGGGGATAAATTGAGCATCATGGAAACATAATCACAGAAGTCAGAAGTACAAATAGATACTGCGGAAAGTAAAAGCACTTTTAATAGAGGAAAGGCTTGATTCAAGCCAGTGAATGCTAATGAAAAGAAAGATCAAGTCAGTTAGTAAGACTCTGATGTGGAAGATAAACAAAGCATGACCAAGCGTTAGGATAACTGGGATTCCTGATGTAGGAAACCCACAAATGGGACAGAAAAAGCACATAAAGTTAAGAGAAAAGAAATTTTCTTGAAATGAGGAAAAAAATGGTCTGTAGGCCAAAAGAACGCTTTCCAGGAAATTGCCACCTTCCAGGAAATTTCCATATGGGAATGCCCAGCACCAAGATACCTAAAGCGATTTAAAAATTTTTTAAAAGAAAATAATTATTTAGGAATCCAAGAAGAAGTAAACAAAAGAGGGATGAACAAAGTCAAGCTGACCTCAGACTGTCTACCGAGAGGATGGGGTTGCTAAGAAGTGTTCTGAGTGGAGGACACTGTCCCCAGGAGGACATTTTATCCAGCTAAGACGTCATTCAAGGTAAAAGTCAATTGGCAGGTCTTCTCAAATATGAAAGAGCCAAAGGAATTCAAGACCCAGTGAGCCCTCTTTGGGGAAAAAACTGCTGGATTAGAAGAATTCAGCAAATTAGCAAAGTAAGAGATAAATCAAAGAATAAAAATAACAATAAATAAATAAAAATAATAAATAAAATAAAATAAATTGGAAAAAAATAAAAAAATAAAGAACCCAAGCATAGAGAACTCATGATCGAAAGGAGTGTTCATGGGTATTTATCTAAATGTGGAATTAATACCAGACAGCTTTGGAAACTGTAGGTAGAATAAAAGGTGATTGTTCTATCAATCTAGACAAGAAAAAAAAACAATAAAGCAAAAAAAAAGAAAGAAAGAGGTAGGGAGGAAAATGGGAGGAAAAGGAGAATAGTAAAGTTCTCTAGTATGAAAGCATGAATCAATAAATACGGTTTAACGCAGAAGGTGCTGTGAACATATAAAACCCCACTTCTGAATATCTTCCGTAACTTTTTTTTTTTAAAACATTAGTGGGCTATCTCTTTTCTAAAGAGAAAAATAATTCAAATTGCAGCAATTCCTTTGGTCTTTCCTTCAGGCTTTTTCCCCCAAGTACAATTAAATTTAGACAGAAGTGCTGTCTGTGTGTGTGTACGTGTGTGCGTGTGTACTCATGGATAGAAAGATCTCTGGGATTATGTTCACCTGTTAATGATGGAAATATCTGAATGCTGGAATTTGTACTTTTATACATTCTTAATTTTTCTAATGAGCACACAAAAGAAGTGCTACGGAAGCAAGACAGACATTTGAAACATCAACTGGAAACAAACATGCCACAATATTAACAATGGTTGATGCTGGGTGGTAGAAATAAGGATGCTTGTTACTTGCTTCTTTCTACTTTTTTGTAATTTTTTCCTAATTTCCAGGGGAAAAAATTACGTAATCGCATTTGTGTAGTATTTCCAAATCTAGTCCATTCATTACTCATTGACGACCAATGCTATGCCAGGCATCAGGCCAGATGGAAGGAAAGACCCTTATGTTCTCCACCAGGGGACTGGGAGGCAGCAGGCTCCTTGAGGGCTGGCTGGCTGGCTGTTTAGGAGGAGCTGGAATTCAGGGAAGAGTCTCTTCACCCCACAATGTCCACTTGAGTGGGGCCCTGAAAACCAGCCGTGTTGAGAGGTCAGAGGCTAGGGTCACTCCCAGAGGAATGGAGGGGAGCGCCAGAGCAGGGTGAGGGACACCCCGAGCTGGGCACCTGTGCAGGGCAGTGGCTCCTGGGAAAACTGGGAAGGCCAAGGACAACCTTGAATTCAACCCAAGGTGCTTGATGTCTTGTTAGGTGACAGTGAGCTACAGACTGTGGGCGGCTAGGAGCAAAACAGAAATGCAGGACCCCCATGTTTACAGAGCAAGAAGTACCACTGAAGGCCTTAAACTATCATGCTTTTTCTTTTCTTCCGTTGTCTCTGTCTCTCAACTTGTCGCTTAAAACAGTATTTACTGTTTTAATGTCTTCTTGAGTTTAAAAAAAAAATTACATTATTAGCAGGAATTTCCCCCATTCGACTTTATACTGTGCAAAGCCAGATCTAAGAGCATTTCATTCGCATGGGGAATCATTGAATTACACAATTACAGCACGTCTGGAGAGGGTACCTCAAACTAGCCAGAAGAAGTGAACGCAGGCCAGACTCAGGAAGGAGAAGAAGGGTCCCCCCAGGCACACAGCCCCAGAAGCATTCCCTCATGCCGGGGGTACGGTCCCGGCCAGTGCAGCTCCCCGCAGGTGCCCAATGCCACCCCACCCCTTGTGACTCTGGGCACACAAGCACTGGGGCCTGAAGGATGCTGGGATCCCCCTCCTGCTAGGTCCCCCACCCCACCCCCGTACGGGATGGGCTCTGGGGAAGTCCAGCCCCAAATCCCTCCCACCAGAGGACCTTCTCTCTCAACCCACCGCATAGAAGCAATGTCCAAAGGTCTTTAAACCCCTGTCCCTGGACATGCTAGGTACCTGGATCAAGGCTGACCTCGATGCTCACCCCTACCGGTTCAGCTAGCTGCACCCCCCAGGTGGGTTACTGCCAGCCTGGAGAGGGGGGCAACTGCCGCTCCGGCGATGTGACCCAGCTGCACCACCACACAAAGTGCATCAGCAGTCCCCAGGGTAGAGGGAGAGGCCGGGCATGGGCCTGGGACCACCTCCAGTGGGGGCAGGGAGACGAGACCAAGCGTGAGCTGAGGCTACCAGCTCCCTGTGTGTCCCGCTGTCCCATGAGACTTCACTAACAAAACACAAGTTCAAAGACAAAATGACTAAGAATTTCAGGACAGCCTCGGGAGAGCAGTAAAACAAGTGTGGATCCCTTCCACCTGGGGGACCCAGGATGGGAGGTGGGGGAAGGAGCGAAGCCAGCCCTGGCTGGCTACAGAGAAGAGACACAATAGCTTTGCTTTAGGAAAGCTGATTGGTAGTCAGGGAGGGTTTCCAGGCGCCTCATTAAACAACTGCAGGCAGGATGCCAAGTGACAGGAAATTAGATTTTCCAAACAACCAGGAATCTCGTTACTGGACATGAGGCTGGAATTGGGGTATGGGTCATCAGAAACAAAGAAGGGGAGGAGACATCCCCCTGGCTCACAGAGCATGAGGGACTTTTAATTGTGTAACTGTGTGTGTGTGTGTGTGTGTGTGTGTGTCCGCCGCGGAAGAAACCAAGTGCTCTGTAGAACAAAGGTGAAGATTTTACCACCATCAAGAAAAGACAAAGCGGGGGTGCCTGGGTGGCTCAGTGGGTTAAGCCTCTGCCTTCGGCTCAGGTCCTGGTTTCAGGGTCCTGGGATCGAGCCCTGCATCGGACTCTCTGCTCAGTGGGGAGCCTGCTTCCTCCTCTCTCTGTGTCTGCCTCTCTGCCTGCTTGTGATCTCTGTCTGTCAAATAAATAAATAAAATCTTTAAAAAAAAAAAAAAAAAGAAAAAAGGGGCAAGGGGCCACAGGGCAGATGGTCAGTGCAAGGGAGTGTCACCCCCCCCCCTGCCATGGCATTCTATACTCTAGGTGCGCCCAGCGTCTTAGGGAATGTCCATACCCGTGCAGGCCCTCCGCCGGGCAGTGAGGGTGGGAGATGACGTCACACGTCACAGTGCTCTCTGTAGACCTTCGAAATGGGCACGGTATGGCGGGATAGCTGGAGGCAGAGGAGCCTGGGTATGTCACGGGCGGCAGAGTCTTCAGCAGGGATGGCAGTTTTAACCTGGAATCTCTTGGATTCCTCCAGGAGAGTACCTTGGGTGGGACGTGTTACCCTGGCAGTCCAGAGGACTTTTTAAATTTGTTTTGAACTTGAACTCAAGTTTAGTGCTTTGTGGTCCTTATTCAGTTTCAGTTTGGGGCTTGATGCTGCTACAGTGTTGAGGGGGAACAGAATACCCAGAATTGGTAGAGCCCAATTGCTTGGGTAGAGACAAAAGTCCTGAGGCAGAGAAGGAACAAGATCCATTTCCGGGCGGGAGCGGCGGGGGGGTGTTTCCATAAAACTCTCTCCGTGGAACGCTTTCAGACTATGACTCAAAAGGCAGATGCCAAGGAAGAAAATAGCTTTAAATCTGAAAACATGATTTTTTTTTTTAAGCCAGGATGAGGGACACCAGGCTGGTTCAGTCGTCTGCCTTCAAACCAGGTTCCTAGGATCGAGTCCCACATCAGGCTCCTTGCTCAGCTCTGCTTCTCACTCTGCCTGCCACTCCCTCTGTTTGTGCTCTCTCTCTATCTTCCTAACAAAAAAATAAATAAAATCTTTTAAAAAAAGTTTTTTCTGATTCATATTTTAAAAAATTACAAATAAAATAAAAAATAAATAAGGCTGACATGAGCAAATCAAAGGGCAAGGTGACATCAGAGGGGGAAAGATGTGATTTGTATCAAAGACAAAGGGCCAGTTTCGCGCATAATTAAAAAGTTCCTAAAAACAAACCAATAAGAGAAAAAGCTACAACTCAGTAGAAAAATGAGCAAAGATAGAGTTAACAAGAAAGAAAATGCAAATACCTCTTACACGTATAAAAAACGGATACTCAGAATAAGAGAAATGTAAATTTATATTCATCTGAAGATCATTTTTATTTATAAATTTGATTTGAAAAAGTCCAGGAGTGGGGCATATGAGTGGCTCAGTTTTTAATCGTCTGCCTTCGGCTCAGGTCATGATCCCAGGATCCTGGGATCTAGCCCCACATCAGGCTCTCTGCTTAGCGGGGAGCCTGCTTCTCCCTCTCCCTCTGCCTGCCACTTCCCCTGATCATGCTCTGTCTGTCTCTCAAATAAATAAATAAAAAGCCTTAAAAAGAATAAAATAAGTAAAAAGTCCAAGAGCTTGATGACAGCCTCCCTGAAGAGCTTGTGGCGGAAGGAAAAATTGTCACGCATCACAGGTGGCTGTGTACGTCACATAGCCACCAGGGCAAGAGGGTGGCTGTTAGAGCCCCTCTGGGTCAGGTGTCCTCCATCGACCCCTCCAGACCCAGCTTCCCAACACTCACCCCTTACTTTGTTCTGCGATCCTGTCTTGTACGGGCATAGCACCCTGGTCCTATGACTTCTGACTGGAATCAGCCCAGGATGAGCCCCAAGTAAGAGGAGGGAGGAAAGACAGTGAGGGCTATTTACCCTCCCATCCCTTGCCGCCTCCCTGCACTATCATGCTGGATTCCCGCAGGATTTTCTCCTACCAGATTCTAGCACCTTCCCTTTGCGTCCCAGCCCAGGAGGGAAACAGCGCCACTGCTGTTGGCTCCAGGTACTACCTGCTTCCTTACTGTTTGCCTACATCCTGCTCACGCATTTGTAACTTGGCCCTTGATTAACGTCTTTTTCCAGGTGTCCTCATTCGAATATCTTTTTCCTGCTGAGACCCTGAGTGGTATAAGCGTTTGCCTGCAATCCTACTTCTGGGAAGTTTTTCTACACTTAGACTCACACACATGCAGAACGACGCGTGTCCAAGAGAATCTGATGCAGAAAAGACTGGAAGCAACTCAGACATCTCTCGTGGGGCCTGATTCCCTACATGGTGGTGTGTCCATAGACTGGACAGCTCAACTGGTTTAAAAAAAAAAAAAAAAAAGGAAATTCTCTTGGGTGCTGATGTAGAAAGATCTCCCAACTATGTATCTTTAAGTAGAAAAAGCAGGAGTAGGACAGGGATTTTATATCCCATCTCTTGTGTTAAAAAAGGGGGAGAAATCATATATATTTGGTTTTGCTTGTGCATAAAGATATTTTGAAGGACTCACCAGAGAATGAATAAAGGTAGTTTTCTGAAGGAAGCAAGACCCTTTGCTATTTACTTCTGTGTGTTTCTAGAAACAGATAATCCTGTCGCCTATTCCAAAGTTAAATTTCAAACCTCTCCCTGGGGGCTTCTGGGTGGCTTAGTTGGTAAAGCGTCTGCCTTGGACTCAGCTCATGATCCCTGAGTCCTGGGATCGAGCCCCACCTCCGGCTCCTTGCCAAACAGGAAGCCTGCTTTTCCCTCTCTGCCCTGCTGGTGCTCTCTCTTGCTCGCTCTCTCTCTCAAATAAATAAATAAAATCTTAAAAATAAACATAAATAGATAAAACTTCTCCCTGGTAGACCAGGAATTGGTACCCGGTCCGGCTCCCAGGAGGGCAGTGGAAACCTGGACGTGGAAACCCTTGCTGTCCTGTCTTTGTCCATCTTGATCTTTGTCATTTAATTACATGCTTCAGCGTGGGGAATCACCTAATGCTGATTTCCTTTCAGATGTGAACGTAAAGAAAAGACTCAATAACCAAGATGCTTTGGAGCCAGAATGCTTCCCCTCTTAGATCTCGGAATCTGTGTCTCGTGGGTGAGTGTTCACTTTTGTCGGAGCTCTTATAGGAGCAAGCCAGTCAAGTCACCATCCCCCGGAGCCCTGCTGGGCAGTAGCAAATGGATGGCCCCCAACCAGGGGCCCAGCATCAGCCTGTCCAATGCCAAGAGCCAGATGGAACGTAGATAGGAAGCCTGGATTCAGGGTCTTGAGTTTCCACCCTACTATTCATTTTAGGAAAACAAACAAGAATGACTCCTTAATGATGGAGAGTACCCTCTTAGGGACTTTGAAGAGGAATTCCTCTTAATTCCCTCATTCTAATCCGGGGCGGAGTTTCTCACTCTACTCCCCTACTTAGGACGAGGCCAAACCCCGTTATCTCCTATCGGTCACCAGACTGAAAAGTCAGCCCTGGACTTTGGTTTCTGGGCTTCATTTATTCTTGACTTTCTTTCCTATAGTCCAATGCTGCTCTTTCTCTACCTTTCTTTTGATTCTATTTCAGTGTCGCTGTGTCATCTCTCCTAGAGCTTACCTGTAGGGGATCCATGAGGGCGACACTTCTCCCCTGTGCAGAGCTGCCCTTGCCTGTAACCTCACCCCCAAGTCACTGTGACAGCCAGAAAGCAAAGGAGAGTCCCCAGCTCCCATCACCTCCGATTTTCTTCCTACGCCACCTTTGACAAACATCTTAACCTTCAAAATGTATCAGCTAATAATATGCGCATTCGTATTCTGAGACTTCTTCCAGACACATAGCTAGCTGCGTCTCGGCGCTCTCTCCCAACCCATCAGCCCTGTTATTCGCAGCAATCCCCAGACAGATCTTATTTTGGATTCACTCAGGTTGAAACCCTTGAACCGTGGCCCACCGATAGCAACATCGATCTTCCAAGAACCATTTGCTTGAGGATATTTTCTTTAAGCACAAGGAAGTCTCAATCCAGAGCTAAGACTTGTGTCCAGGTGTGCCTGGGTGGCTCAGTGGGTTAAAGCCTCTGCCTTCAGCTCAGGTCATGATCCCAGAGTCCTGGGATCGAGCCCCGCATCGGGCTCTCTGCTCTGCGGGGAGCCTGCATCTCCCTTTCTCTCTGCCTGCCTCTCTGCCTACTTGTGATCTCTCTGTCAAATAAATAAATAAAATCTTAAAAAAAAAAAAACTAAACTAAAAAAAAAAAAAAGACGTGTCCAAAAGAATGCCAGACTCAGAGCTAGAATTACAAATTGAGCCTGCAGAGAGTGTTTTTGCTTGTCTAATTTTTTTTTTCTTCTTCCTAGTGTATATCAGCCTCCTGTCTGGTGTGTTATCTTTGCTGCCTGGTAAGAGATTTTCTTGGCTTGACTGAATTTTGTGGAAGGGTCAGGGTACTGGGGGGACTATTCAGAAGTTTAAAATGTGGGGAATTTGATTTCTGATCCCAGATCTGTTGCCCATGTTGTTTGAATCGTTTTTTCTTTGATTTTTCTCAAATACTCTTTTCTTTCCTCTGTCAAAGGGACAAAAATTAGCCAGATTTGTACATTTGTCTCTCAAAACACTTATAAGAAATTAATATCCCCCAAAAAAAGAGAGAGAGTGAGAGAGAGAACACCAGAAGTCATTTTAAAACTCCTTAAAAGAATATGCAATTTCAAGCCCCTTAATCGAAGAATGAGGAGGTACAGACCATGTCAAACAGGAAATGATCTGAATAATTTCCCCTTCATTTCGTTCTTCCACGTGCTGTCTGGTACCTGGTGCCAGATAAAGGAAAATAATTGTTTTAAACCAAACATCTTGCCTACATCTATAAATCTGTCCATATAATGTCACTCTGCATTAACTCTGTGTCCAAGCTTGTGATGAGCACAGGAGATGAAGAGTTCACAGCCAAGAAGCAAAGTCCTAAGTCTGAACCACAGGCACCTTAGATAATCATAAAATTTGAATTTGGAAAAAAATGAAAAAAAAAAGACTTGAATTTATTTTTTTTTATTAACCTATAATGTATTATTTGCCCCAGGGGAACAGGTCTGTGAATCATCAGGCTTACACATTTCACAGCACTCACCATAGCACATACCCTCCCCAATGTCCATAACACAGCCACCCTATCCCTCCCCACTCCACCCAGAAAAGACTTAAATTTAAACGGTATTTGACCGGTGTAGCTTTCAAGTCTCCCTTGCTACCGCCTCATCCCAGCTGCGTAACACTATATAACTCAACTGCTCAGTTTCACGGTGTGTAGAATGGGTCTCTTCCTAGCACCGACTTCAGCAGTTTTGCTCAGATTAAGTGCCTGAAAGTCTGAGCATGCGTTGTCTGTCCCTTACTTCCATAACTGGAGAAAAGTGCGATGGGAAGTTCAGAAGAGGGAAAGCAGGCAGTGTGCCGAGCCGCTTAGGGGGACTACAGGAGGCATTGGAGCTGAGTTGAGAGAATGAGGTGGACACGGATCCTTGCCCTGATGACGTGTTGCTCATGAATTAGTTATGTTACTTCATTTCTCGTGTCCGCTAAAACTGCGTCCTTCCCGTGTTCCCAAGACCATGTGGGCTCCAGATCCCAAGGGACCGATTGGACAACCCTGGGTTCCAGATTTCAGTGTTTCTTTTTTTTTTTTTCTCCTGTTTCCTCTAGATTTGTCAGACAAATCTTGCACTTTCAAGGTGACACTACGCAATTTCCGGGTCATCTTATCTTGGGAAGTGAAAAACCATTCGATCGTACCAGATCGCTATACATTACAGTACACGGTTATAAGGTTGGTTTGACATTTCATTTTTTCCTTGCTAAATATATTCTCTTTATATTAACTGGGGGATGGGGATGGGGAAGGGTCGTGATCTTCCTTGTGTTAGAGCTCCTCTCTTCTCTCCCTCTCTCTCTCTCTCTCTGAGTTCAGAGCTTTCAAAGTCCAAGTCCGCTTTTAATTAAACTGAGTACTTTTAACAGTTTCAAACTGGTTTTGACAAAACTTGTATTTATAATCATCTCTACAGGTCAGAGCCGCAGAAGCAAAATTATCACTGTGTATCGTTTTCATGATTATTTCTCTAACTCATTGGACAGTCAATGAATAAATGAATACGCTGTTTTCTGAGGACAGGAGTCCAAAGACCTGGCGACCGTATTGATATTGGGTTCACATTTCTTTACTCAGGGAGCCATGTGGCACATCAGAAAGCTGTCTGGCCCAGACCAGGAGAGGCCCAGGTCCACAGTCTGGCTTGATCACTGATGGGCCGTCATCTTGGGGCACAGAGCTCAGCTTCTCTGAGCCGAGTGTCCAAAGATGAATAACATAATGGAAAGAGCCCTCAATGGCTCTCTTCTTCCGACGTCTGATGTCACCCTTCTAAGTGGTTGCTTTGATCCAGTCGTGCCTCCCAATGTTCTTTTGTTTGCTCTTTATTTGGCTAACAGCTGTTACTACCACTCACTGACCCAGTAGAAGGCCTCTTGCGAGTCTCTCTGCTGCCTGCCAAAGTCTTAGTTTCTCTCTGCGTTAGGTGGTCACGTGTACCACCCACTTACCTTTCTGAAGCTCAAGAAATCAGATGTCTCTGCTGTCCCTACATAGCACGGGCTGACTTGGGACTGGACCATGTGATCCTTGGAGGGAGAGAGGGTTACAGGGAGATCTGGGGCCTCTCCCACAACAGCATAAGGGTTTGCTCATTCATTCATCCAGCAAATATTTACTGAGTATCTCCAGGATGCCAGGGGTTGAACCGTGAACCCAAGTCCTTGACCTCCTGAGGCCTAGAACAGATATTCTGAAAGTAGGCAGGGATCTCAATAAACAAATAAAGACATAATGTGGTAGGTGCTGGTAAACAGTGTGCAGAAAAATAAACACGGGCGAGAAGGATTAGGAGAGAAAGGGTGGACACTGTGGGGTAAGGTGTATTTCCATTTTAAATAAGGTGGTTAAGGAAGACGACTTGATACAGTGATATTTGGGCAGAGCCATAACAAAACGAAGAAGCTGGGTGTACAGTTAGTGGGTTCTCATCACATAAACACTGAAGTTCTCCTTTTGTCATTTATTTTCCTTTCAAAGTAGACCAGACGGTGTGAAGATTGTGGAGCACTGTTCAAATATCACAGCATCATTCTGTGACCTAACGGATGTGTGGGAGGTCCTGCCCGAGACATACGCCGTCACAGTTGACGGGTTCAGAGGGAACACAACGCTGGTCACGTGTTTCGTCGATTTCTTCCTGGCAGCATACAGTGAGTAGATCTCCCTTTATCATCTCCATCATCATCAATATTTGCTGCGATCATGAAGCAGAAAGGTCGGCAAAGCGTGTCTCAGACTCAGGGCACGCCTGACCCTGGCACTTTCCTAGCTCTGGAACTGTGAAGTATTTACTTTGCCTCTCCGAGCTTCAGTTTTCTTAGCAAAAAAGTAGGATGATGATCTATACTTTGGAGAGGATTCCTCTGTGCCCAAGTGAGGCAGGCATCCCGGCAGCAATGGCCACTACTTTCTGGTATATTTCAGAACCCGACAGGAAGTAGAGAGTGAGGTCCAGAAGGCCTGTGTCTGAGCTGTCTCAACTCTTTGGGCCAATGTTTTCCTTAACATTGCAACCCCTCCCCCAGATCATGACCCAGCAGCTCTTACCTACACCAGTGCCCAGTCTCGGAGAAGACCAGAGCCTGAGAGTGGGTCTGCCTCTCTATTCTTCCCCTGTGACTGGAATCAGCTCCCTGTGGCCCTTGCCTTAACAGTCCCAGGGTCAGTGGTCCTCAGCCAGACTCCAGCATTTCTTCAGTGTCCTACTGTGCAACCGGTTTCCAAGAGAAAGATTCGATTTCAGCTCCCTGTTAAAGGCTGTGTGAGTGTGCACTCACGCATACATGCTTACCAAAGTGAAAACGACCGAATCCGCACTGTCACAAACATCCTGAATGGGCAATTCACTGGAATGGTGCGTGTATGTTTATGTGTGTGTAGAAATATACATATCTGTGTGCATAAAAAAAAAAAGGAAGAAAAGCACAGGGGCACCTGGGTGGCTCAGTGGGTTAAGCCGCTGCCTTCGGCTCAGGTCATGATCTCAGGGTCCTGGGATCGAGCCTCGCATCGGTCTCTCTGCTCCGCAGGGAGCCTGCTTCTCCATCTTTCTCTGCCTGCCTCTCTGCCTACCCATGATCTCTGTCAAATAAATAAATAAAATCTTAAAAAAAAATAATTCACCCTAAAGAACAATCATGGTAAATGTCATGATTTAGCTCCAAGAATGCTCATTGACACAATGATTCTATTCAGAAAGTGTAGAGACAATCACATATTCAAAATAGCAAATCAATGCAACCACTTAGCAGAACAGAAGCAACCACAAAAATTCACATGAGTATCGGTGTCATCCAGCTTTCCGTAAAAGGCCAGGAAAGAAATACTTCAGGCTTTACAGATCACACATCAAACACTGTATCACCAATTCTTCTTTCACTGTTTTACAACCCTTTCAGAACTAAAAACACCCTGAGCTGGCAGGCTGTACAGAAACCCAATCCACAAGCCATTTGGCCAGCCCTTGATGGAGATAAATATGCATTAATATGTTTATGAGATGAGTTAAATGCAATATATTCCATGCAAAACTGCGGGTAAGAATGATTTAATTTTAGTTTAGATGCATGTGTGTGTCTACACTACTTCAGTTTATATACACATACACAATAGACACACAGTAGACAAACGATGATTAACAACATTCAGGGACAGTTGTCTACTGTGTTTTCTGCTATTTCTGCAACAGTTGGATATCATTACAATATGAAAAGAAGTCATTTTTACTTTTGTGTTTAGAATACAGCCTGAAAATTGGGAAAGACTGACTTCCATCCCCAAACCTGTCCTCCATTTCTCCATTAAGCAAATTACATCACTTTTATTGTTCTCAGTTTTTCACCAATAAAACAAAGACATGGGGCACCTGGGTGGCTCAGTGGGTTAAGCCTCTGCCTTTGGCTCAGGTCATGACCCCAGGGTTCAGGGGTCCAGCCCCGCATTGGGCTCTCTGCTCAGCAGGGAGGCTGCTTCTCCCTCTCTCTCTGCCTGCCTCTCTGCCTACTTGTGATCTCTTTCTCTGTCAAATAAGTAAATAAAATCTAAAAAAATAAAAATAAAATAAAATAAAACAAAGACAACCCATGCCTCAACTAGGACCCTAGACAAGCTAAAGAGAAGATAGCAGTCAAGAAGTCAGGTTATGTTACAGCACTGGGAACAGTATGGTTAGATATTGGGATTTGTTTCTGATTTTGTTTTCTGAACAGTATCCTTGGAACCACCAGAGTTTGATATTGTTAACTTTACCGACCACATTAACGTCAATGTGAATTTTCCACCCGTCCTTCCCAAGATACTAGAAGAACTGTTACAGTTTCACCTATCACTTATCATCGAAGAACAGTCAGGGGAGATTGTCAAGAAGGTAAGTGGTCAAAACAGTTCTGAATTGGCCATGAATATGTTTTTCTTCAAAAAAAAGAAAGACATTTGTAATGACTCGAACAATTAAGGTAGAGGCTGAGGTGATGAGGTCTGGCTTGAGGGAAGAAGTCTCCATAGTTCATTCATTGCGGAAATATGTCGACTTAGCCTAGTGGTGTGGTCTTCTTTCAAAGAATAAGTCACACACACATCAGGGGACACACAAGAAAGAGAAGGGAGTGTGGTGTAGACCAAGAGAACAGACTAATTTCAGTACAAACTGGGGCAAAATTCTAAATGGTGGAATGAATGAAAGTGGCCTCTGCTTGAGCAGCTTACATGGGCATAGCCCTTTGCCAAGTGTAAACCCTTGTATGCGATACCAACCTGCAGGATACAGGGGCACATGCTTTTCAGGTAGAGCGCACCAGAAGTCAAAGCTCCTGAGGCTGGAGCGGACCCAGTGGATTTGAGAAACAGCGGGGAGCTGGAATAGAGTGACCAAGACAGGAAAATAGAAGGAGGTGAGGTCATGGAGGCAATGGGGCTCAGATCTTATGGGGCTTCAGAGTGTCATGAAGATGCTGGAGGACCCGAGGCTTTTCCAGGGTTTCCTGCCTGGTGTATTGAGAATAGATCATAGGGGCCAAAGGTAGAATTTGGAAGATCAGTGAAGAGGCTATTATGATGGTTACTTCTCAGTAGGAAGTAGCAAATTATACAATTATAATTTTCCCTTTAATATCGACTTGGACTATAATCAACACCCTAATCCTTTGATTAGGAGAAGGGTACAAAAATAACAGAGGGAAGAAATAAGCTGATGTAGCTCAGAGACTGTATCAAGTTTCTTTAAAGCTCATAATCCAGTTACATCTAATTTATATTCAACCCATGACCTATTAATTCTGTTTGAGATTATTATTTATATTATTATTGTTTCAAGAGTGCCATGCTTATTAGGATATTGACAACACTGTAAGGGGGAAATGGTGGTAGTTCGCATCTTCTTCATTAAAGAAAAATAGTCTTTGGCCTAAATTAGATCAAGAAAAAAAGAAGAGGCTCCTGGTGGAAGCCAGGTGACAGCTGGTGGTGGCTTGGACTTCTCGGCAGTAAAGAGAAGTGGTCAAATTCTGCATATGTATTGCAAGTGGAGCTGACAGTATTTTTGGATGGGTTGGATGTGCGGTATGGTGAAGAAAAAGACAGGAGCACCTGGATGGACCTTCCATTCATTAAAATAGGGTAGATTATGGACAGAGGAGGTAGATGGTTGGATCTCAATAGTTTGGAATTGTATATGTCCATTTTGAGGTGCCCACAAGGCATCCAGGAGGAGATATTGAGCAGGAGTTGAAGGCTCCAAGTCTGGAGTTCAGGGGAGAGCTTCTAGCTGGAGAGATGTCCACAGGAATCTTTAGCTTCTTGGTGTGTATTAATACCTTGAGAAGAGACAAAATCATCCAGAGGCAGATATGCAGAGAGAAGATGTCCAAAGTCAGAGTCCCAGAGGACTCAAAATGTAGAGATCTAGCAAATGAGGAAACAGCAAAAGAGACTGGGAAGAAGTAACCAGCAGCGTAGGAGGAGAAGTAGGTGAGAGTGATGTCCTGGTGGCTGAGAGAAGAAAGTTCTGGAAGGAGAAAGTGATCTACTGGGTCAAATGCTGTAAATGGGACATGTTAGAGGAAGACTATGGATTGTTGATTGGATTTCGCCACATGGAAGTCCCGGTGACCTTGATAAGAGTGACTTCGGTGGAATGTTGGGGTAAGGATCTGGTAGGAATAGATTCCAGAAAGAGAAGGGAGCGAGAAATTGGAGATAGTGAGGTGAGCTTATTCTTTTAAGGAGTTTTTCTATCAAGAGAAGAAGAGATACTCTGCAGTGAAAAGTGGGGTCAAGGGAGGAACACTTTAAAATGGAAGAAGTTACAGGATGTTCATGTGCAGATGGAATGTCCCAGGGGGACTGGCGGAGCCACGTTGTAGAGGAGATGAGGATCGATGAGCACAAGAAGGGATTGGCCTTGGCTTGGAGTGGGACTGGGCATCCGAAGCACGGTGGGGCAAAATAGGCTCAGGGGTACGTCTGCTTGCTTCGGGAAACAGGAAGCAAGCATCTCACACATCATCAGGATCACACAATGGCAACACCAGGTGTGGGACCTAGATATTCTCGGCTACCATTGGCTATTCCTCTTCCAGAAAGTTTCTACTTCTCTCCCCCTTTTCTTCTTCATTGCTTATTGGCCATGCATGGGATTTTAGTTCTTTAGGGCTCACCTGCTCTTTCTTTCTTTCCTTCTTTCTTTCTCTCTTCCTTTCTTTCTTTCTCTCTTCCTTTCTTTCTTTTTTTAATTCTTCCTCCTTCTAAACAGAAACTTGCAGAAAAACATTATTACAGAAGGCCATATTTGAACTGCTGGAAATCCTAATTCATAGAACTGCTAGTATTTTGAAAACTATAAAACGTTACACAGAAGTTGTTTTTTCTTGGAAGAACAACCTTCGTATCATCTCTTTAATTCCAAAATGGAACAGAACTACGTGAGAAGGACGAGGCAAGGTGTTTTAAGGGAAAAAATAAGAAATTAATCAGCACCCACAGGTCTGCCACAGACAAGCTCTGTGGCCTTGGAAAGTTACCTAACCACTCTGAGCAGTAGTTTCATCATCTGGAGAATGCGGATAATGCCAACTTTGCAGACCATTTTAAAAATCCCATTCATTAATACATATGAAAGCACTTTTGAAGGGTAGATACATATCATTAATGAAAAAAGACAATCTTTTTTTATTTTCTCATTTTTGCTGGGTTATCTCAATGCAAGACAAAATAATCTTGTCAAATGGCATCATGGAAACCTTTATTCCTTCTTGAAACTTTTTCTACTCATTTATAAAATGAAGTTGCTAGACTAGATTTCGTGGTTTGAAAGTGTGCGTTGAACGATCAATTCCTGGTCCCTAGTAACTTAAAAAATCCTTTTTCCCATCGAGCCAATATTTTTATCCCTGTTTAAGATTTGAAGACAAATTCCCAAAGACACTGTTTAGACCTGCCTCTAAACGAAATTCTCCCTCAAAGTCTTCCTGATTTTTGGCTTCTTTTCACAGCATAACCCCGCACTAGATGAAAACGTCATTGGAAATTTCACTTACGTCATCGACAAGTTACTTCCAAACACAAACTACTGTGTATCTGTTTATTTTATGCCTAGAAATCTGGAAGCAATACGCAGATCACCAGTAAAATGTACCCTCCTTCAACCTGCACGGGACACAGGTATAAGTTTTTAAAAATTCATGTGTAGCTTTTGCTCTGTGGGAAAACATATTTAATGAGAAGAATCTGAAAGTCGTGGAGTATGGAAGTTATCTCTTCCCCTGAAAGCCCATCACAGTGATACATTCTGTTGGTCAGTCGCAGCCAAGTGATGGAGTCCCCTTGAAGGTGCCATACTAGAGGGACAGTTCCGTATCTACCTTTATAAAGTCAAGTCCTCCTGAAATGGAAATGCTTCAATTTCAGGGAGTCAGGACGAAATTCAGTTCTGGGCACCCTTAGCTTGGCCATTACTCAAGCCAAGGGCTGGAGGAGGGAGGGATGCTGGAAGCAATTATAGGCAGAGGTATCAAAGGGTCAAATTATGGAGGTCGGGTGTGGCTCATGGATGTGGCCTGCCTCACAGGAAGGTGGGCTATTGCTCGCACATGGAAGGAACAGTCACTAGTGTGGCTGAGATAGTCCCTGGGAAGACGGAGAAGTCCTTCTGTTGCAAAGGCATCAGAACAGTAAATAGCATAGTTCCCGAGCCTTCCCCCAAACGGAGAAATTTGCAGTGAGACCAGTCAGGCTTAGGAAAGTTCGCTGCCACTGATTTGCCCAGGAAGTAACAAGTTCCCTGATTGTTTTGCCAAAAGTGAACACCTCCACCAAGGAAGCCTTTCAGAATTTCCCAGCTCCCATTAGAGTTTCTTTAACGTTCTCATTTACCAGAGTACAGACAGTAAGGTGAGACGAGAGGAAGGAACAGTCAAGGGTGTGGCTTATTTGTGAGTTAAGTGACCTACGGTCCACACTGCCTGACACATGAAGTTCCTCCTTGTGATTTTACTCTCCTGTGTTCCTCAGGGTCAGATGACAAACAGACCAATTTTAAAGGAAAAAATATCTCCTTTAATGTATCTTTAAAGGGAAAAAGTGTTAGCTTCAATCATTATTAGAGTGTCAGTCAAATACAGGCAAACCTAAACTTGTGTATAAATTCTTTATGCCTGTAGCTCTTACAAAAACGTGAACTCCAAGTGAAGTTACATACTTATGTCCTCATACCGATTCTCTAACATCAGCTCACTGTCCACCGATTTGGTTCATATCTGACACTCTCTGGAGTTGGTCTAGGCCACCCAAACTTCTGTCCAGTCTGGCTACAAATCTAGAGGTTCCCATGACCTCCCTTCACATTTAAATAGGGCAGGAGCTCCTGTCCCCTCGGAGTCAGGCGGCGTCAACCTCCCAATACTTCTATGTGTCCACCAACTTGAAACCTCTCCAAGCCTTGCTGACCAGAGTTTGTACTGGGTTTCATTACATAGGCGTGATTGATTAAACCATCATCTATTAGCGACTAAATGTGATCAGCAGCCCCTCTCCCTTTCCTAAGGTCAGTGAGACTAGAAGTTTCCACTTTCTAATCACCAGGTTGGTTTTTCTGGTGACCAGCCCCCATCCTGGAGCTCTCCAGCACCCTGCCTTGCCTTGCCTCATCAGCATAAACTCAGATTTGGTCCCCGAAAGACACTCCTATCACTCAGGAAACTGGTGTTTTGTGCCAAGAACTAGGAGCAAAGACCAGATGTTTTATTGTATTATTTTTTTTATTTGCATTTGTATTATACCATGATCTTATAAACAAACAAAACTAATGGACTGGAGAAACTATTTTCTCCTCTCGTCATGGAATACTTGTGTATTCCATTGGTGTGAGGGTTTTCTGCACTCCAAGTCATCCTCCCAGACCAGTTCAGGGCCTTACGATTTCACTCAATCTCAACACTGTCTACCTGGAGGTAGAGATCCGATCTCACAAGACTGTCCCACTGCCACTGCAAATGCGAGTTGCGATCAAAGTTGTCACCTGGGTGTCAGACTGACCAGCTGTAAATTGGAGATAATCACAACCCCCTCCCTGGGTTTGATCATTCACTAGAATGACTCCCAGAACTCAGGAAAACAATTTCTTTACTGGGTTCCTGGTGGATTCCAAAAGGATATGACCCAGGAACAGCCTGGGTGGGAGAGCTGCATAGGGCCAGGTATGAGGGGAAGGGGCAGGGAGCTTTTCTGTCCTCTTAAAGCGAGCACACCACCCCCAACCCCCAACTTCCCAACCCAGAGACCCTCAGAACCCTGTCTTTTTTAGGGGTTTTATGCAGACTTCATTACAAAGGTAGGACTGATTAAATCCTTTGCCACTGGCAATTAATTCAACCTCCAGTCCCTCTCTTGCCCCCAGAGGTCCAGGGGTAGGGTTGAAAGTTCCAACCTTCTAATCACCAGTTGGTTCTTCTGGCAACCAGCCTCCATCCTTAGGGGCTTTCCAAAGTCATCTCCTTAACGGTAAACTCAAGTGTGGTCAAAAGGGGCTTGGATGTGAACAACAAAAGACACTCCTTCACCTTCCTTGCTCTTATCACTTAGGAAATTCCTAGGAAATTTCAGAGCCCTATGCCAAGAAGTGGTGACAAAGACCAAATAAATATTTTTTTATTGTTATTGTAAATCACAATCTCACCAGTAGACACACAAATTAGTAGTATGACATGACAGACGGTGGTTTGCAGAAACTCAGTCCCCACCTGGAAGATGAATGTAAGTCTGAGACCAAAGGCACACATTCTTTGGGGTTGACATGCTCTGTGATGACTCAGTTTCTCCCCTGACTTTTCTGTTTTACCCGCTTAGAAACAGTCATGCAATAGCACATTGTCATGTCATTTTGTCTTTACGTGGTGTGAGCACATCATTTTGCATATCAAATCAGCCTCCCTTCTTGTATCGTTACCCAAGACAGCGCAAGTACAGGTGTCCTTCACAATCCAAATATTGGATGTCTCAATTCTTATTGTCTGAAATTCAGGAACCAGATAGGTTCACATAACATGGACTCCTCACTGTGGAGACTTGTCATCTGAACTACGTTCAACTAGCCCAACCTGGGAACCAGACAGGTTCAGATGGTGGGAGATTCTTGACAGACCTCCTGGGACCGGTGTTCACTTCCTCAGACTTGGGGGTGAACACTGCTGTCTTAGGGGAGTACTCATCTGGGTGGAGTTTAGACCAGAGATCTTAAAAAATGTCTCCCTTCTGGTCAAGTCCTAAATTACCTGGTTGGCTCCTTCGGGAAGGCCTTGAGGGAAAGCTGTGTCCATCCACTTGACAAATATTTATTGGGGACCTACTGTATGCTGGGTTCTCTTGTAGACGCTGGGGAGATGGCAGTGACCAAAACAAATAAAATTGAGGGGTGCCTGGGTGGCTCAGTGGGTTAAAGCTTCTGCCTTCGGCTTAGGTCATGGTCCCAGGGTCCTGGGATCGAGCCCCACATCGGGCTCTCTGCTCAGTGGGGAGCCTGCTTCCTCCTCTCTCTCTATCTGCTTGCCTCTCTGCCTACTTGTGATCTCTGCCTGCCAAATAAATAAAATCTTTAAAATAAAGATTTTAAATAAAATCTTTAAAAAAGCAAAAAAACAAAACACACATACACACACACACACACACACACACAAATAAAATAGAATATCCCTGATCTCGTGGAGCTTACATTGCAGCAGAGATGGAAAAACAAAATTTTAAAAAGCCACTTGCAGTCAGAAGGTTGAAATTTTCCAAAAGGAATTTTGATGAGAAACTTCAGGGGCACTCAGTAGGACAGAGTGGGTTTGGTAGAACCCCGTATGGCCAAGGTCCAGCCTCAGAATGACCCAGTTGTTTCTTTCAGACAAACTCTTCTTTTCCACCTCTCCTTGCCTGTAAGGTATACTGTTAAATAACAGACATTCAAGTACATTTTAAAGACCTAATAAGCTCTGTTGAACAATTCGGAAATCAGGAATCGGGCAGCATCCCATCTAGCAAATAGAGAGGAGCTCCAGAGGGCTACAGAAAAGAAAAGGTTTTTAAAATCAGGACAAGGAAGTCACACCGAAAAAAAGGATTTTCAAGTGAAGTCACCTCCCTTTGGGGGACAGAAAGTTATTATATCAGGTGGATTACCTCGCGGTGCTGAGCAGGAAATTCCAGAATGACCAGTTAAGATTACAGTCCCGGGGGGGGGGGGGGGGTTGAAAATGCAATTAGGTTAGGTGTTGAGTCCCCGCGTCTTGGGGGCCAGGCATAAGTGACTCCATTTTGGGCCCGGAGTTTTGTTTTGTTTTGTTTTGTTTTTAACAATACTAACAAGTGGCGATGGAGCATTTGAGATGTGGCCAGGATGACTGAAAACTGAGTTTGGTGGAGTTTCTCTTCAGCTTTGGTAATTAATTTAATTTTTTTGAGGTTTTATCTATTTATTTGACAGAGAGAGAGAAAAGGGGAGAGGAAAGAGAGCACAAGTAGGGGGAGCGGCAGGCAGAGGGAGATGCGGGCTCTCTGCTGCGCAAGGACCTCCCCCCCACCATCACCACTAATGCAGGACTCGATCCCAGAATCAAGCTACCCAGGCACCCCTCAATTTTGGTAATTTAAATTTAAAGAGTCATGTGCAGGTCATGGCTATTGTTTTGGAGAGTGTAGTCATAGAACATCATTAAAACTGGAAGACAGGGTCACCGGGTGGCTCAGTCAGTTAAGCGTATGCCTTCAGCTCAGATCATGATCTCAGGGTCTTGGGGTGGGGGTCTCCTGGCTCAGCAGGGAGTCTGCTTATCCCTCTCCCTCTGCCCCTAACCCAGCTTGTATTCTCTCTCTCTCTCAAATAAATAAATAAAATCTTAAAAAAAAAAAAAAGGAAGAAAGTAGCTGGAAGACATTTTACTTTGAAAAATTAAATCTGCCGCTTTTATCCTTGGAAACTATGTATACTTGGATTACTTTTCATTCTGTGTTTAATAATAGTGACATTTGCTTGTCTGATAACTCATTCCACCATCAGTCCAATGTGTGTTTATTCCCATCTGTGATCATTTATTGAATTTATTTCTAAATAAAGTCATTTCATTTTTCATCAACAGGGTCATCAGAATCTGCCAGAATAGGAGGAATAATTACTATGTTTTTAATAGCTGCTGTCTTCATAAGCACCATAATAATACTGAAACGGGTTGGTTATATATGCTTAAGAAATGATTTCCCCAAAGTTTTGGTATGTAGTCTCTTTTTAAGTTTCTTTATTTTTTATTTTAACTTAAGGATTTTTATTATACTCTCAAATATTTTCACAGCCGAAAAAAATCCCATTTTCTAAACACACCAAGCTGTTTTATCACTGAATGATACCCAAATATATATGTATCTGTATTTCCATTTTCTGTTCCCCGTTTATACTTTGCCCACATAATATTTTTAACGATCACCTGTTATTCCATTTTCATTAATGTATTATCTTTCCTTTAATCATTTTCCAGCTATTGGGCATTTGAAATGATTTCTTTTCCTTGCTTTTCTTTTTCTTCTTTGGCCTTTATGAATAACGCAACGTGCTTCATTAACATTTTTTGTAAAGATCATCTTTCCGTTTGGATTATGTCAGTGGAATGTGTACACAGGTGGATTTATCTTTAAAAAAGATAAAGAATTAACTTGTGCTGCCATGTGCGACCATGTAGGTGGACACATTTCTCCAAAGCTCTGCTGCCATTGATTAATCATTTTTATGTGTATAAAGGTCACCCGCAGTTGCTCTCATTTGTGTTACTTTAATTATTAGTGAAACTAGCCCGTTTGTCTTTGTTTTTCCATCTGTGCTCCCCAGGGTGCCCCCTTTCTACTCAGAACCTTCAACCCCTCAGACAAATCTGGGTATTGATCTCACAACTTTTCCAAAACCTCCTCATGTCTTTTGACACGTGTGCCCATAAATTATGGATCATTTTCTCTATCCCGTTGCTGTTTTTCCCTCTTCGTTTTAGAGTTTTTCATTCAAAACGATCTCACATTTCTATGTTTGAACTCATTTCACATTTTTCTTCTCATTTTTAAACAACCACATATTTAAATTCCTCCGCAGTGGATAAAATTGTACTCTTCTTTCTCTTGGTCTTATTTGTTCGGGGCGGGTTGGGGGAGGCGTTGTTTATTGGGGGGGGGGTGTGCTTTGGGAGATTTTTGGTTACAACTGGTGTTTGAGCCCAGCCAGCATTCGGCTACGCCTTCGGAGAGGTTAGATGCCTCTGTACCGCGTTTCACCCACACTGTGATCCCTGCCTTTCAAGAATGGACATTTTTTTTAATGTATTTATTTGAGAAAGGGGGGGTGCAGAGCACACACAGGTACACAGAGTGGGGAGGAGCAGAGGGAGAGGGAGAATCTCAAGCGGCCTCCCCAGCACAGGGCTCCATCCCAGGACCCTAGGTCATGACCTGGGCTGAAACCAAGAGTCAGACACTTAACCCACTGGGCCATCCAGGGGCCCCAAGAACAGACATTTTTTACCCACAGTGTAAAATACTTTTCAAAGTCTTTTCTGCCAGCAGCCAGTTGCCTCCTTATCTCAACCTTAATCCACCTCCTCCTGTCGGAGCTGTATTTATTCCTTTGGTCTTGAGGTCTTGGGCAAATCCTACTTTAACTGCTATTTCTCATTGCAGCCTTGAGATAAAAAGGCCTTTAGCACCACACCCATTCCCTCCTTGATAAATTCTCTGCCTGGGTTACTAGTCCTCCCCCCAGGTCTTCCTGGAATTCCTCCCCCCCCCAAGATGTGTCCAAAAAAATAAATTTTAGAAAAAAGATATATATATACATATATATGCATGTATATAAAAAATATATAAAATATCTCCATTATTTATTGTGTTGACCCAAGTACTGAGAGGAGGTGTTAGTAGCTTGTGTCTTTCTAGTATTCCTCCATTAAAAATTGTTACCCTTGGGCACCTGGGTGGCTCAGTGGGTTAAAACCTCTGCCTTCAGATCAGGTCATGGTCTTAGGGTCCTGGGATCGAGTCCCGTGTTGGGCTCTCTGCTCGGCGGGGAGCCTGCTTCCTCCTCTCTCTGCCTGCCTCTCTGCCTACTTGTGATCTCTGTCAAATAAATAAATAAAATCTTTAAAAAAAATTGTTACCCTCACTATGGACCCAGGGAAACAAACTGAGGGTTTCAGAGGAGGGGTGGTTTGGGGGGAAGGGGGTAGCAGGGTGATGGGTATTAAGGAAGGCCACGTGTTGTGATGAGCACTGGGTGTTATACACAACTAGTGAATCATTGAACACTACATCAAAAACTAATAATATATGCTATACAGTGGCTAAGTGAACATAATAAAAAAAATTTTTAAAGGAAAAAAGGTAAATAGTTAAAAAAATTCTTACTCTGTGTTTAAGTAAAAACTCTAGGAATGGCAAAACAAAACACTCAACACCTAGTGTATTTGTGTATATGTGTTTAATCGACAATATATGTTAAAAAAAATTTTAATGACATCTTTTTACTTTTTTTATTTTTTCCTTCTTTCATTCTTTTGGGGGTTTTTTTTGTTTTTGTTTGTTTTTGTTTCTGTTTTTTGTTTTTTTGGTGTTTGCATTTAACAAATATTTACTGAGGACCTACCATGTGTCCACATGTTCCAGGCACTGGGGATACAGAAGTGAACAAAACAGATGGAAAATCTTGCCCTCCTGGATCTTAAAGTCTGAGGAGTCAGGGCAGAGACAATGATAACTTATAAATGATAAAACTGGTGAAGTTAAAAACTTCACATGAATCTAGAGATCGACTATTAAAGTTAATAAGTTTGACAGAGTTGATATCTATGAAATAGTCATTATAAAAATAAACATGAAGCCACTTTCCAACATCCAAGAAATTCAATACACAAATCATAGTGTAAAGCTCTGTGAATTTTCACAAACTCGGTGCATCCATGTAACTCGCGCCTAAATCGAGAAAGAGACTATCATTAGCCTGCCCAAAAGTATCTCTCCTGACACCTTCTAGTAAGGACCCACCAAGAATAACCACTGTCCTGATTACTCACAGCATAGATTAGTTTTACCTGGTCTTGAACTTGGAATCCTACAGTGAAGTAGAATCACAGTTTTTTAGAAATACCATTACAGGAGCATCTGGGTGGCTCATTCAGTTAAGCATCTGCCTTCAGCTCGCTCATGTCATGATCTCGGGGTCCTGTGATCAAGCTCCGCATCAGGCTCCCTGCTCAGTGGGGAACCTGCTTCTCCCTCTGCCTTTCCTCCCATGCTTGTGCTCTCTTGCTCACTTGCTCACTCTGCCTCTCTCCAATGGATAAATAAAATCTTAAAAATTTTTTAGTAAATAACAACAAAACTACCATTACACTAGTAATAAAAAATATTCTTAAAGCATTTTAAGGAGGGGCGCCTGGGTGGCTCAGTGGGTTAAAGCCTCTGCCTTCAACTCAGGTCATGATCTCAGGGTCCTGGGATCAACCCCGCATTGGGTTCTCTGCCGGGACCCTGCTTCCCCCTCTCTCACTGCCTGCCTCTCTCCCAACTTGTGATCTCTGTCTGTCAAATTAAAAAAAAAAAAATTTTAAGGAGTTAATCTAATAGAAGACAGTACAGTTCTTTTGTGGAGAAAATCATAAAACCTTATTGCAAGGCATTAATTAACAAAGATTTGGTCAAGTAGAGAGCCCAGAACCAGACCCACTCATAGGGAAACATGACTAACGATGAGTAGATATTGCCATGGGGAAAGGATTGGCTGATCCATAAATGTAAATATATGGGAGAAAATGAAGTTGGATCTCTACCTCACACCATACACAAATATCAGTTCCAAGTATATTAAAGACTAACATGAAAGGCAAAACTGTTAAAGTTTTAGAAGACACGACAGGAGATTCTATATGACCTTGGGGTAAGAAAGATTCAGTCACAAAAAGCAGAACCGCAAGGAAGAACATTGATACTCTTTTTTTACATTAACAAAGAATTTCTTGTCATCAAATGTCATTGATGATGTAAAGCAATAAGAACTAGGAGAGAATATATGTAACAAATAATCATAATTATATAAATAATCAACAAATAATTGGCATCCAAATTATATAAAGACCTCCTATGAATCGATAAGAAAAAAGATGAACGACCCAATAGAAAAGTTCAGGCCAAAGCTGGATTGCGTAGAGTAGGGGAAGAGCAGGTTTGTCAAACTGGGCAGCCCAGGTGGGCACAGGAGAATAGAGGGGAGGACGATGCCAGTGACCATCACAGGTGGACCAGCTCCTCCCCATTAGCTTCTGCATAGTTAGTTTTAACCTAGAGACAGAATCCACCTTCAGGGCAAGACTCAGCCTGCCTTGTATTCTCCAGAGTTCACCCAGCTCAGCTGTATCCTGGCAGTGCTGTCTTCCAAGAGCTGGAATAGAATGTGAGTCTTGCCTTTATGGGGGTCTTCCCCATCTTTAAGGTCCTCCAGTCCAGGGGACCCTGATGGAATCGCGCCCCCCCCCAGCATCTCCCCTCTCCCACTGTTCCCTGACATCCTTTAAGAATATCTCGGCAATCCAGAATCTAAATGGATCGATCCCCTGACATGTAAGAAGCAGCGAGGGGAGTGGGATAGGAAGGAGTGAAAGCCAGAACCTGGTCCCTGGGGCGGGCAGCCTACCTAGCTTGAAATGTAGCATTCCCCACCCACTACTCATGAACCTTGGGCAAGTTTCTTCACCTCTCTGCCTCGTTTTCTCAGCTGTAAAATGGGGAGAAGCGTAAGCCTACTTCGTGGCCGGGTTGTGAGGGTAAAATGCATTATAATGCGTAAGCAGTAGGACGAGCGCCCCGCAAATATTAAGTAAACAGTACATACCTGTTAGCCCTTGTTCCTGATGTTGCTGGTGTCATCGTCACCCTTCTCAACCCTGTGCAGTTACTCTCATTGAGTTTTTTTTTTATTTTATTTTTTATAAACATATAATATATTTTTTCCCCCAGGGGTACAGGTCTGTGAATCGCCAGGTTTACACACTTCACAGCACTCACCATAGCACATACCCTCCCCAATGTCCATAATAACCCCACCCCCCAACCCCCCTCCCCCCAGCAACCCTCAGTTTGTTTTGTGAGATTAAGAGTCACTTATGGTTTATCTCCCTCCCAATCCCATCTTGCTTCATTTACTCTTCTCCTACCCCCTTAACCCCCATGTTGCATCTCCTCTCCCTCATATCAGGGAGATCATATGATAGTTGTCTTTCTCCGATTGACTTATTTCGCTAAGCATGATACCCTCTAGTTCCATCCACGCCGTCGCAAATGGCAAGATTTCATTTCTTTTGATGGCTGCATAGTATTCCATTGTGTATATATACCACATCTTCTTGATCCATTCGTCTGTTGATGGACATCTAGGTTCTTTCCATAGTTTGGCTATTGTAGACATTGCTGCTATAAACATTCGGGTGCATGTGCCCCTTCGGATCACTACGTTTGTATCTTTAGGGTAAATACCCAGCAGTGAAATTGCTGGGTCATAGGGTAGTTCTATTTTCAACATTTTGAGGAACCTCCATGCTGTTTTCCAGAGTGGTTGCACCAGCTTGCATTCCCACCAACAGTGTAGGAGGGTTCCCCTTTCTCCGCATCCTCGCCAGCATCTGTCATTTCCTGACTTGTTAATTTTAGCCATTCTGACTGGTGTGAGGTATCTCATTGTGGTTTTGATTTGTATTTCCCTGATGCCGAGTGATATGGAGCACTTTTTCATGTGTCTGTTGGCCATCTGGATGTCTTCTTTGCAGAAATGTCTGTTCATGTCTTCTGCCCATTTCTTGATTGGATTATTTGTTCTTTGGGTGTTGAGTTTGCTAAGTTCTTTATAGATTCTGGACACTAGCCCTTTATCTGATATGTCGTTTGCAAATATTTTTGTCTTTTGGTTTTGTTAACTGTTTCCTTTGCTGTGCAAAAGCTTTTGATCTTGATAAAATCCCAATAGTTCATTTTTGCCCTTGCTTCCCTTGCCTTTGGCGATGTTCCTAGGAAGATGTTGCTGCGGCTGAGGTCGAAGAAGTTGCTGCCTGTGTTCTCCTCAAGGATTTTGATGGATTCCTTTCTCACATTGAGGTCCTTCATCCATTTTGAGTCTATTTTCGTGTGTGGTGTAAGGAAATGATCCAAATTCATTTTTCTGCATGTGGCTATCCAATTTTCCCAACACCACTTATTGAAGAGGCTGTCTTTTTTCCATTGGACATTCTTTCCTGCTTTGTCGAAGATTAGTTGACCATAGAGTTGAGGGTCTATTTCTGGGCTCTCTATTCTGTTCCATTGATCTATGTGTCTGTTTTTGTGCCAGTACCATACTGTCTTGATGATGACAGCGTTGTAGTAGAGCTTGAAGTCCGGAATTGTGATGCCACCAACTTTGGCTTTCTTTTTCAATATTCCTTTGGCTATTCGCGGTCTTTTCTGGTTCCATATACATTTTAGGATTATTTGTTCCATTTCTTTGAAAAAAATGGATGGTACTTTGATAGGAATTGCATTAAATGTGTAGATTGCTTTAGGCAGCATAGACATTTTCACAATATTTATTCTTCCAATCCAGGAGCATGGAACATTTTTCCATTTCTTTGTGTCTTCCTCAATTTCTTTCATGAGTACTTCATAGTTTTCTGTGTATAGATTCTTAGTCTCTTTGGTTAGGTTTATTCCTAGGTATCTTATAGTTTTGGGTGCAATTGTAAATGGGATTGACTCCTTAATTTCTCTTTCTTCTGTCTTGTTGTTGGTGTAGAGAAATGCAACTGATTTCTGTGCATTGATTTTATATCCTGACACTTTACTGAATTCCTGTACCAGTTCTAGCAGTTTTGGAGTGGACTCTTTTGGGTTTTCCACTCTCATTGAGTTTTATTATGTCGGAAAGTAAAGAACAAACAGAATTGATACTTTCTCTCTCTCTCTCTTTTTAAGAATTTTAATAACTTGTCAGCCTGGGTATTCCCTGAGATGCCACCATTGGAAGCAGTGGCTTTCGTGGAGGTGATTCATATTAACAGGAAGAAGAAGGTGTGGAATTACAATTACGACGATGAAAGTGACAGCAACGATGAAACCACCGCCCCTCTGACAAGCACAGGGGGCTATACCAAGCACGGGCTGCTGAGTGGGCTTCCGGGTCCCACCTCTGCCTCCTCGGCCACCGGGCAGGACTGCCTGGAGCCGGACACCGAGGAACCTAACCTGTCTGAGCCGGAGGCGGAGTCACTGATGGCACCAGAGCCCAGCCCCCAGTTAGGGAAGCTGCTACAGGACCGCTTTTCCGAGGACGGCAGCTCCATGGAAGAGGCTGGGGACAAAATGATCTTCAATGTAAATCTGAGCTCTGTATTTGTGAGCACCCTCGATGATGATTCGGACGTCCCTCCGGTGTTACCAAGTTTTCCAGAAGAGACATATGACCTAGAGGATTCCCACACACTGGAACCAAGCTTTCTGGCCTCCGGCAGGGAAGGGACACAGCCATCCTTTCCCACTCCCTCTGCAGAGTGCCCTTGGCCTGAAGATGTGCTTTCTGACAAAAGTGACAGTTCTGAGTCGGAGGTTGACATCGGGGATGGCTATATAATGAGGTGAACCCCCAAAATATTTAATGACCGTGCACTGACCAATACCTCCAGGGTTTCCCTCCCTGCACAGTCACTTTCTCCTCTGTGGTCCGCAAAGTTCCCGGGCTGGTGTGGGAGACTGCAGTCGGCTTCTCCTCTGAGGTGCCTGGAGATGTCATCTATGCAAATTCCATGCAAATTACCAATCTGGGAGGGGAGTCGAAGCCAGACCAGCGGATCCTTCAGTGCGTTGTTTACACGTCCCAAATGGTTTTCAGGGGTGGTCCAGGGCCCTGCGAGATTTCTGAGAAGTAATGAAATTAGCCAGGGTGGGAATGGGGAGAGACAAGAAAGACACTCAGCAGGAGTGAGTCCAGCAGGCTCAAGGAAGGAGCCAGAAAGCAGACAGGAAAAGAGAAGGAAGGGAAGGCAGGGACCTACAAAGAAACAGAAGCCCATGTTGGAAGGAGGGAAGATCCAGCCCAGTCTTGGGTTCCTGCCACATATCACATTCTGTCACCTACGCTTGACCAGCCCTCCTCAGTTTGAGTGAGGAAGACAAACTCATGCGTAAATAACTTCAGCGTCAGGCAGGTGACTAATAGGAAACATTTGCATGAGAGAGAGGGATAGAATCTCTGTGCCAAATTTTAAAATTAAAAAAAAAAAAGCGAGAGAACAAATGCAAAATTGTTTCAAGGTCTTCAGAAGAAATAAGACACAAAATTCCTGGAGGTCCTGTTTAACAATTTAAGAAGCTCCGAGTGCACTGATTCCAGGTGTCCTATGTGTGACCAAAGTTCCTGTGGAGGGGGGAAGGGGGAAGGGACATTCTAGAACATCATGTAGCAAACCAGACAAGAACTGGGACTCGAGTCTGACTCTGCTGCTATTTCCGTGTGTGACTCTGGGTACTTTGCTTAGCCTCTGAGCCTCAGTTTCTTCATTTAGGAAATAAGGGGATTGGGCTAGGTAATCTCCAAGATCCTGTGGTGCTAAGAGAAATATTAGAAAATACACAGGAATGAAGACTCTGGCGGAGATGTGACAACCCTGAGAGGTCCCCAAGGTGAATCAATGGTGTGGGACCTCCTATCTCCTTCCCCTCTTCCTAAGAGCAGTCTTCTCAGACCTTTCTTCTAGATCCATTCACAAGGGGGACAACAATTACGAGTTCTAGTTCAAGGGCTTTGAAGAGATTATTTTTACAACCATTCTAAAGTATTAAGGAGAGAGGTGTGAGAGGAGACAGAGTTATTTAATGACCTGATGAAATTGCCCAGGAAAGGAACTTTGTCATGTGAAGAGTCCAATTATCCACCCTCTTGAATCATCTCTCATATTTTGAAAGCTTTCCAGAGTGATATTTTGAAATACCCTTTTTATGGCTGCTCTTATGTGTATGTGTGTGTTTAAATTTTGTATAATGGTCTGAAGTTGGTGAAGGATAAATACTTTTTAATACAAACTTGCTAGTGTCTTCAGAGTCGTTTCTCATTAGACAGTGTGAAAAGGCAGCCACTTTGTGGTTCTGCTGACATCTCTGGGGTTACACAAAAGTTCCCTGTGTGCGCGGCGGCCAGCAGGGGCAAGGGAACATTCATCCTCTGGGCTGTGTTGCTGGTGGTCACCTCAAGCAGCGCCTTACATCATCGTGTAATTACCCTGCTCTGGGATTTCCAACCTCACCACTGTCCAAGCTTCAGAAGAGGAAATTAAACCTCTCTCCAGCGGTCCTGTGAAAGTAACAAGTTTTTGCCCCATAAATGACTTGGTTTTGTGATGTTTATCCCTGGGTAAGAGGGCGAAGAAGATCCTTTGGAACTGTCTTTGCTAATGGAGTGTTTTAAAATCAAGCTATTTGCAGGGAGAGGGGATTGGAGAGAAAACTTGGAGAAAGTTTTCACGGCAGAAAACTTGGGGAATACTGAATGGTGTCAAGAAGAACCACCACCGCCCGTAACCCCGGGTAGAACCTCTGGGTGGGAGTTGCAGTGTATTTCTTTAACCCGGAAAAGCATGCATTTAGTTTTGGGGTAGATGTCTCCCCAGTCGGGGCACTCTACGGACAATTTTCCAGCCGTTTTACTACTGGCGTTTTCCACCCACCCGCTGGGGTAAGCAAGGTCCCCTCCCCCCGCCTCCCCCCTCCCCCCGCCTCCCCCCTCCCCCCGCCAGCAAACCTCCCCCCAGCGCACACACCGCCCTCTCCCCACCCGAAGCGCAGCGCCTGATCCCGGCCGGGGCGGGGCCCAGGGAGGGGCGGGGCCTCCTGCAGCCCCGCCCATCCAGTACCAGGAAGCGGCCGCCGCGCGGGGCCCCTGAGGACCCGCGGGCTCTTCGGGGCGCGGCCCCCACGAGCGCCCTCCAGGCTCCCGGCGCGGCCATGCCGCGGAGCCTGCGGAGCTGGCTGGGCGGCTGCCTCCTTATGTCAGGTGAGGGGTCCGCGGGGAGGGGGCGCCGGGCTGTCCCCGGGGCGCCGGCTGGTCGGAGCACCGCGCGCCTCCGGGGCTCCGCGGCCCGACGTTCGCTTGGGGACTGGAGGCCGAGCTAGGACGCCGGCAGCGGTGGCCCCAGGGTAAACCCTGAACGGACCCCAGAGGCTAACTGGAAGTGATCGGGTGCCGGGTCTGGCCACCAAGGGCCTCCCATTCAGTCCTCAGCACCCCAGCAGAGGTGCTCCGCCCCCCAACAGCACAGCTCTGTGCCTTCGGAGTTCTAAATCCACCGAAACCTTTTCTGCCCTCCTCTAAATTTCCTGCCCGGCTTCAAACCACCATGGACCCCTCCTTCCTTTCTGATGAACTCATCTCCGGCCTTTCAGGATATCGCTCGGTCCTGGTTTTCCTCCTACCTCTCAGGCTGTTTCTACCTGGGATCTTCACCTCTGCCAGATCTTTGTTTAGCCCAGTTCTTGCCCGGGCCCTCCGCTATCCCTGTAGGGGAGACCAGCAGAACCCTGGTATTAAACACCAGCTATAGGCCGGTGACTCAAATGTGAATCTCTGTTGGCCCCCTTGGGTGATGGGCAGGCGATGGTTTGTCATACTCTTCCGTCTGCTTTTCTGTATGTTTGATATTTTCTATTAAAAAGTTTAGAAATGGGGCGCCTGGGTGGCTCAGTGGGTTAAAGCCACTGCCTTCTGCTCAGGTCATGATCCCAGGGTCCTGGGACCGAGCCCCGCATTGGGCTCTCTGCTCAGCGGGGAGCCTGCTTCCTCCTCTCTCTCCGCCTACTTGTGATCTCTCTGTGTCAAATAAATAAACAAAATCTTAAAAAAAAAAAAATTTTAGAAATGATCTCTGTCGTTAGCCCAGATCTCTCCTTTATGCACCAGGCTCCTCTCTCCCGCTGTCTGGGACATTTCTGCGTGCATATCTCTCCCCATCTCAAACCTAATGCAGCAAAAATGGGACTCTTGATGTCCTTGCCCCCAGCCACAATCAGGGCTTCAGATGCTTAAGCCAGGAATGAATATTAAGTTCTCCACACCGAATGTACCAGAAAGTCTAGAATCTATACCTCTGGAAATATACCTGAAATCTCTCTACCCGCCCCCTGACACCTTTCTCCCACCACCTAAATCCTGGTCACCCCGCTCTGTCCCCACTTCACTCTTGCCCTCTGCCCCACCCCAGCCTCCAACACCACTGCCCCCCACCCACCGTGGTTCTTCAGATAAAATCCAGACTCCTCAGTACAGCTCATGTGTGCTTTTTTCCTTCCCCCACGTGCCCATTTGAAGACATGGAGCCATACAGGAGACCCGAGTGTTGGATACAGTCGTTTACTAGTGCAACTTTTTTGAGGAACAACGATGCAGACATTTCCCTTTTATTTTTACAGCGTTAGGAATGGTGCCACCTCCTGAAAACGTCAGAATGAAGTCAGTTAATTTCAAGAACATTCTACAGTGGGAGTTGCCTGCTTTTCCCAAAGGGAATCTGACTTTCACAGCTCAGTACCACAGGTGAGTCTGGGTGCTCTTGCGAGGAAGGCCCTGAGCTGGTCACTGGCCGGACCACATGAAAGAGTCTGACTGCCATCGCCCACATGACCATGACAACCCACAGGGGACTTCCCTGCGGACCTTTTTCTCTCTGTCCGGGAGATTCTTGTGAAAGCTCTGTTCTCTGAAAAAAGACAAAATCTTTTTTAACTTTTTCTTGTTGGAATAGCTTATCGTTTGATGATCACAAGGCCACCGGTAGGTAGATACAGACATTTGATCACGTGGCTATGGATGTCATTGGCCATAGTGGTAGCCTGTTGTCACACAAGCATATGGGATTTGTCACACTTGATTTTGTTGTTGTTGTTGTTTAAAGATTTGTTTATTTATTTGAGAGAGAGTGTGTGTGAGAGAGACCGTGAGAGGGGAGAAGGTCAGAGGGAGAAGCAGACTCCCCGCAGAGCTGGGAGCCCAGTGGGGGACTCGATCCTGGGACTGCAGGATCATGACCTGAGCGGAAGGCAGTAGCTTAACCAACTGAGCCACCCAGGCGCCCAACAACTGATGTTTTTTAAGAGAGAAAGCGTCACTGAGATCATCTCCACTTATGAGAGCAGGATTGCTCGAAGTCAACAATTTGCAAGTGGGAGGCATCCAGGAAAACTGAGGTATGCAAAACAGGAGGGTCCTTGCCATGCTATCACCCATCCCCTCCAGCAGATGATAACAGAACACTGACACGCTGGGGGGTGCACATAATTTGCATAATGGGTGCTCAATTACTCTGTGGCTCTGTCCTGAAATAGAAGGTAAGATAGCGATAGCTAGTTACTCACTGTGAAAACCTCTAGCCTCTGAAAGCAGCAGAGGCTTACGAAGGAAGGGTGAGTGTCACCGAGACAGTTATCTCAGGGGTGCTCTGATCTCCCAGTATTGGCCCTGCCTGTCTGTTTTTCCCTCTGCCAGCCCTCCCTCATATTTGCCATCATACACCACGAGCTAGATGCAGGGGACACACCTTGATGCCAAGTGCAAACAGCAGCAGGAGGCCAAAGGGTGATGAGCAACGCACCTGCTTCCAGTGTGACTCAGAAACACACAAAGACAGACAGTCACTTCGATGAAGCAGGAGGAAACATAGAGTCCCAGATCCCATTAACCCCACACCCCTTCTCATCCAGATTGCTTTTACAAACACATCCCAGGCCTGTTGAAGCAGAGAAGACATAGAAAGATGAATAAGATCGTCTTTGTTGACTTTTGGGGGCACTTCTTAGTTGGAAGGAATTCCCCGCTAACAGAATTTTAAGATTTCATTTTAAGATTAGATTTCAAGATTTTAAGATTTCAAGTACGGTGCAAAAGAACTTCCAAATAGCTTATATCCAGATTCACCGGTTTTTAAGGTTTGCCATGTTTCCTTTGTCCCTCTTTGTCTTTTCTCATGCCCTTTGCCCCTTAATATTTCATGGAGAATTTCCTAAGAGCAAGGATGATCTCTTACGTCACCCCCTGTAGCTGTTGAGATCGACACCTTCCATGTTGGGGCTGGACTTCCATCTGACCTACAGTCCTTCATCAAATTTGTCAGTTTCCTCAAGGATTTAGGACAGGTGATTCTGCCACAATTTTTCCCCGCTGTGTATTTTCTACCACTCATTGGTTTGATAATTTCATGTCTGTTTCTGCGGTCTTGACAGCTCTACCGATTTCACTCTGTAAAATTAACCTCGTCCCTATCTCTCTCTCCCCACACACCTGTTTATTCTTTGTTGTTCCAATCTGTGCCCTTGTAGTAGAGGCCTTTGGTTGCGATGTTCAGTCTTGTAGGCACGAGTTCCCAGTGGCTTCCCAGCAACCTGGTGCCACTTGTCCTTAGCACGGACATCCAGATTGAGCGTGGGATATGCTGGGGCAAACAAAGCATGTGCTGGGGGTGTCCCTGGGGAAGAAATTTGATCTTGAAAAATCTGATTGCTGTTTTCCATGGCTTGTGAAAGATTTGTTTGGAATTCAGCTTGAGAGGTCGGGTAGCACAGACTCTTACATGTGTGTGCAGGGTGGGGTGAGCAGAGCCGGCTCACTTCAGGAGAATGGATTGGTGATTTGAATATGGAAACATCTTTGCAAAGGAGGTGTAAATGTGGGGAATGGGTTCTACGACCTACTTAACGGGGAGAAAAATATGTCTAGATGCCCTAAAAATGACCTGGTGAGAGAGAAGTTATTGCAAAACAACTTCTGGAATGTTCCATGTTCCAGCCAGTTGATACATTAGTTTAAATGAAGGAAGTGACCTCAGGAGAGAGAGCCCCCTTCATGCTATGACCTCTGGAGTCTCCAAACGGTGGGATGTTAGGCAGCCCATGAAGAGTTTGGATTGACGAATGTTTGTGGGATAGTATGAGAAAAGAGCAGATTGTAGAATAGTCTTGAGCCCAATTATCTCTACCTACTTTTAGCCAGAAATTGTTCTGGGCATCACCAAGGACGTGATGAGGTATGGTGTGGTGCCTAAGACTGTGGGCTCTGAAGTCAAGCTGATCCCAGCTCTGTTGGGCAAGTTTCTCAGGTTCTCCATCCCTGCGCCCCATCTTTAAAAAGGAGTGATCCCTGTTCTGCCCTCCTGGACTTGCGGTCATACAGGTAAAAACACTTCCTGCCCCGCCTGACATCTATGTGCTTGACAAGTGGGCTGTTACTATTTTTATCATCATCAGCTTCGTTACCACCTCTAAGGACAGCCAAATCAGAGGAAGGTACACTGAGGAACCAGTTAGACAAACCCCCCCCCCCTTTTTGTGAGACTAGAGCCTGGGTGCCCTCCTCAGGTGGTCGTGAGGTGGTCACACACACCTGTCAGGCTTCTCAGACATCGTTTTCCTTCTTCAACTTCACGTGTCTACCACCCTCCCTTCAAGGGTGGGTGTCAGGGCTCCAGCTCTGTTCTAAACCCATTGTATAAAACAAATCTGTGTAAGAGTGAATCGTTGCAAGATGAAGGGATAAAGAAGATGTGGTGTGTGTGTATATATATATATATGTATATATATATATAATGGAATACTATGCAGCCATCAAAAGAAATGAAATCTTGCCATTTGCGATGATGTGGATGGAACTAGAGGGTATCATGCTTAGTGAAATAAGTCAGTCGGAGAAAGACAACTATCATATGATCTCCCTGATATGAGGAAGTGGAGATGCACGGCGGGGGGTGCGGGGTTTGGGGGTAGTAAAAGAATAAATGAAACAAGATGGGATCGGGAGGGAGACAACCATAAGAGACTCTAAATGTCACAAAACAAACTGAGGGGGTCTGATGGGAGGGGGGTGGGGAGAGGGTGGTTGGGTGATGGACATTGGGGAACATACGTGCTATGGTGAGTGCTGTGAAGTGTGTAAACCTGGCGATTCATAGACCTGTACCCCTGGGGCTAATGATACATTATATGTTTATTAAAAAAATAAATAAAAAGAGTGAATCGTTGCATAGTTTTTCCAGAGTAATTGCAGAAATCATTTGTGGGACGCTGTTTGAAATTCTCGTAACAGACCTATTTTGGCCAATCTGTGTTATATCAGTATTCACAGACTGTGTCCCTCTGCTTTCATAAATAGCATCATCAAGGAGGGAAGCTTTCTTGGTCAAATATATTGAAGACTCAAGCCCATTTTGGAGAGACATGTGTTCACTAGGATACAAATGTTGCCGAGGAAGTTCTGTTATGAGGATAGACACTTCTTTATGTTTAACCTAGTTTCTGCCCCAAATCGTTTGACCACAGACAGATTTTTTTTCTAAGATTTTATTTATTTATTTGAGAGAGAGAGGGAGAGTGAGAGGGAGAAGCAGACTTCCCACTAAGCAGGGAGCCCAACCGGGGTTCGATCTCAGGACCCTGAGATCATAACGTGAGCCAAAATCAAGTGTCAGAGGCTTAACTGATTGAGCCACTCAGGCACCCAGGGACAGATTATTTTTTAAACAACTTATGATATCTCAAGAATCACTGAAATCCCATGGAGCACAATTGGGGAAGTGCTCACATAAATAATGCATGCTCTTCCTCAGAAGTGACAATTAAGAATTCGGTTTATGTTTCTCCAGTTATCCTTCATTAACCTTTGGTAGTAGGGATTTATAAAGGACCGGTGAGCCCCAGAGGGACTGAAGTGAGAACTTTCATGGTTTTATTTTTCTGGTTTTACAGTTATAAGAAATTCCAAGATATGTGCATGAGGACTGCCTTGACGGAATGTGATTTCTCAAGTCTTTCCAAGTATGGTGATCACACCTTGAGAGTCAGGGCTGAATTTGCCGATGAGCATTCTGACTGGGTAAACATCACCTTCTGTCCGTTGGATGACAGTAAGCCACTTCGTTTTCCATTTCGTCCTAATGTTGTCATCACACCTTGGTTTTCTTTCCCCCTGGGGTAGCCTGGTCATGGAGGAATTTTTTTGAGCACCCACAGAGTGGGTGGCCTTGCTCAAGGAGCTTAGGGAATATAATGACGTCATGGCTGGGAAGACAGGAAAGGATGGTCATAAAGTTAACACAATAATTAAATGTAACTCTATTAATGTTAATGCCTTGTGGGTAAGAATGAGTTGAGGCCAATGTTGTTAATGAGAAGAACCAGAAGGATCGATGTAGCACATTTACCAGAAGGAAATGTGACATGACAGGCAGAAGGATAAAGGTTATTCAGGGCAGGGGTAGAGACAGGAAGATCAGGTGCAGACAGCCAGCCTGCCCAGAATGAAGGACAGAGCAATGGATTCAGCTAATGGTAGATGTGTTGGGTCAGGCTGGCTGGTAAGCATCCAATAGAATGTTCCCAGGTTAGATCTGGGGGGTCATGGGGACTCACCAGAGGTCATGAGGTGAACATAATTAGAATATCAGGAATTGGAGACTGATTAAACCACCTTATAGCAATTGAGACAGTAAGAGGATAAGGTGGACAAGAACCTCATGAACAAAACTTAAGGGCAGCCTTCCAAGGAGAAGCTCCAGAGAAGGCCTGCAAGGATTGTGTCTGTGTGGGGCAGGGTCTTTATACCGCTTCTGGCTCTGGACCCTCATGGCTCCCACGGCTCCGCCTTTCCTGGTGGTGCCTGCAGCTAGGATACCCTTCCATTCTTTCCCAATTTTGTCCCAGGCTTGGACAACAAAACTCTTATTTCTGGAGTCAGAAATTATCAAAGTGTATTATCTTTTCTAAAGGTATCTTTACAAAAGCTAAGAAAAATCAACATTAAAAAAATACTAGCAGCTTCACAGTAGTCAATTTTCCAAAACGTAGCACAGGTTTCTGCTCCTGTAGTTGCTAAATGACTTACCAGGGCCTGCCTGGTTCCAATTCCTATGTTGGGCCCATCTGCAGAAATCCCCTTTAGAAATTAATACCGAGGGATGCCTGGGTGGCTCAGTTGGTTAAGCGGCTGCCTTCGGCTCAGGTCATGATCCCAGCGTCCCGGGATCGAGTCCCACATCGGGCTCCTTGCTCGACAGGGAGCCTGCTTCTCCCTCTGCCTCTGTCTGCCTGTGCTCGCTCACTCTCTCTCCCTCTGTCTCTGACAAATAAATAAATAAAATCTTAAAAAAAAAAAAAAGAAATTAATACCGAATAGATAAGCGGCTTGCCCAAAGGTCACACAGATAAGGAGTGGCCCAGTAAAGATTCAGAGCCAGGCCCCTGTGCTCATGCTGTTAGCAACAGCTACCCTACTTTGGATCCTTGCCTCTTGAAGTCTATATGACAGGAAAGTGCTACAAGAAGTCACATAGAATCTGTTTATACTTACTTTGAAAAGATATCTAATAAATATTCTTGTCTGGTTTTTAGCTACCAGCAGATTAAAGACAAGGTAGAATGCTGGAAGCAGGCCCATTAGCAGCTTCAAAAAAAAGTAATAATAACAATAGTCAGAGAAGAAAACAGGATATAACTCAAACAGCAGTCACCCAGAGATGTTTATTGTTCATTGTACAATTATTATTGAGCATCTACTATAAGACAGGCAGATTCTTAGTGCAGAAGTTATAATAGCAAGATGAAATCTCAGCCCTCATGAAGCTTACACTCTAATGGAGGGGAAGACAGGGAAACTAAGAGATACATATTTTATGACAGATGAGACTGTGGTTCTCAAGAAAATAAAGCAAGGTTCTGGGGTAGGATGTGTTGGGAGCTGCTCTTTACATAGGGTGGTAAAAGAGTCTTTCTGAGGAGGTGACATTTGAACTGAGACCCAAATAAAGCAAAGGGGCTAGCCACATGAATATCCGGTAAAAGAGCATTGGGCAGAAACAGCTACAGACTTTGTTGGAAAGTATATATGATTGATTATGTATGTTAGGCACTAAAAGTAGTAGAATTACCATCTATAGCTTCCAACCCAGCAAAAGAAATAAAGATAATTCAACCCAATAGAAAGAAAAAAAAGGAACAAACCACACACACACACACACACACACACACACATCTTCATAGAAAACACAAAATAATATAGTTGGAATAATTACAAATATATCAGAAATCACAATAAACATAAATGGGCTAAACTTGATTAATAAAACAAAAGGCTATCAGGGTTTGTTTGTTTTAAGAAACAAACTCCAGCTACCCTCCTTGACCACATCAATCAATGTCATAGCAAAATTACATCAAAGAGCAGGGTGCTTCAGTCAACCAGTTGGTCTGCCCAATTATGAAAAATAAATGTTGATGTTTTTAAAATGTGACTTTTGACTGTCATTTTGCTTTGTTCTCTTCCTCTTAGCCATGATCGGACCACCTGAAATGCAAGTAGAAGTACTTGCTAATTCTTTACACATGCGTTTCTTAGCCCCTAAAATGGAGAATGAGCCTGAAACATGGACCATGAGGAATATTTATAACTCATGGGTTTATAACGTGCAATATTGGAAAAATGGTTCTGATGAAAAGGTAAGCTCAGCAAATCATATGCATTTCAGACATAGGCTCCCCTTCTTTGCCTAGTGTTAGTCTGAGGCCATGACGATGGAGAAAGGAGGCTAGGAGGCCATCCAGTCGGGATCTCGCAAGGTGGTAGCACCTTATGTTCCAGAGGATTTAAGGCCAGATCCTCTGAGTGCCAAAAGTTTCCCAGTCTGACGTATACCTGGTATTTGGCTCATGCTTCCCAGGCCCCATGGGAAATACATAGAGCAGACTTCCAGTGTGTTTAGCTGTGAAAGCAGGCCTTTCCGTCCCTGAAGGGAAGTTGTAGGAGAAGGTGGGTAGAGCTGACTCAACATTTGGCTGGCAGAAGTCGGGGTCCACTGAATCAGGTGACAGGCTGCATGACTGCTGTTTTATGGTATGAACCGCTATGCCCCATGTACACCACAGAATAGCCAAGCCATGGTCAAGGCAGCCCCTCCCTGGATGCTAGATGAACAGTATCACACTGACTCCACTATTCCCCATTGCTCTCCTCCTCTTCAGGGGATGTTTCCTGAGCTAGGAGTCAGACCCTGTTGGAATGTTGCTTCTGCCACTGTGACTCTGATCACATTCTCGGCCTCAGCTTCCTCATGTCTACAAGATGGGCATAATAACCCACCTGGTGGGGCACCTGGGCGGCTCAGTCAGTTAAGCATCTGATTCTTGGTTTCAGCTCAAGTCATGATCTCAGGGTTGAGGGATTGAGCCCCACATTGGGCTCCATACTCAGCACAGAGTCTGCTTGAGATGCTCCCTCTCTCTCTCTACCCCTCCCCCCGCATGCATGCATGCTTTCTCTTTTTCTCTCTCTCTAAAATAAATAAATAAATACATACATACATACAATCTTTAAAAAAAAAACCCACTTCATTAATAAAGTGGAAATAATAACCTACTTCCCAGGATTTGGGGGATTTAATGACATAATGAAAAAAATAAACTTGACCCTTTACCTGAACAACCTTTGTGGTTGATACAGGGGGTTTTCCTTCCCCTTATGTAGACACAATAAGGCTGTTTTCATTCATCCATGGTCAGGCTTTTCCTTATATGTAGGGCTTCCGAGCTGAATGCCACCTATGGTCCTAAGCTGACTTGCATGTATGTTACATAAGTTAAGTTACTTGTATGTTACCTCCTCTATATTAAATGTTGGTTCTGTCACTTCATTCTCAAGAGTTTGGGAGGAAAGTGTCACCCGTGTGTGTTGTCATAGGAATGATGTGATAACTGTATGTACCTACTGCATAGGCCCCCGAAAATCTCAAGTTAATTCCCCCCCAAAAGCCTCCATTAAATGATGCAGGATATCAGCCTCCTTCACAAAATAGATGATTTGGCTTATAGTCAAGCCCTAGGGGGTGTGTGCCTAGAAAACAATAAAGAACGATGAGTTTTATAGTCACTTACCAAATGCAGGCATCTCTGCTAAGCTCTGGGATGCAAACGTAAGACAGGTTTGACCCACTCAAAGATTAGCTGTGTACTTTTATTAAGGCTCTGTCTCCATAGCCTACCATGCCTAAGTGCCTCCCACACCAAACCTGAAAGGCAACACCCAGTTTATCTTTAGCTTCTTATCTAGAATGTGCCCACAGGATAGGCATCTGGTGACACATTGGTCCTGTCACTTGTGCCCGTCTTGTGGAAGACTTTGTTGTGGCACACCAAGTGTTGGAAAGGCCACCTGCTTCCCAGGTCCTCCCTCTCGAGTGTCTGCAAAGTCACCAGGACTGGTTTAAATCCACTCTGGACTGAATGTTTGTGTCCCCCACCAAATTCACATGTGGGAACCTAATCCCCAATGTGCAGGTGTTAGGAGTTGGGGCCTTTGGGAGGCATGGGATTAGCGGCCTTATAAAAGGGACCCCAGAGAGCTCCCTTGGCAGGTCCTTGTGCCCTGTGATGAGGACACAGCATAGAGACGGCTGGCTCGGAATCAGGAAGCCACCCTCCCCAGACCCCAGGAGTGCTGGTGCTTTGGTGTTGGACCTTCAGCCTTGAGAGCTGTGAGAAATAACATGTTTATTTAGAAGCCGCCTGCTCTGTGGTGTTCTGTTACGGCAGCCTGCAAAGAATAAGACAATAGGGTTCCCTTCTAGAATGCAGTGTTAAAAGGCTGCTGTATCCAGTCCGTAAACTCATAGCATAAAAGGCTTCAGAAAATTCTGTTTCTTCCTGATGGGAGCATGTGAGCAAATAAAACCAGAAATTTCCCAGGGTGTGAAAGCTGGCTAGAAAGGCAATCAGAGGGGACTTGAACGCGTCTTTTCACATCTGTCCTTCCTTGCCTGCCAGTGTGGATCAACCCTGAGTTTAACCTCTACACAAAATAGCACTGCAAGGTTGTAGGGGCATTGGGTCCTTAGGAATGAAAGCCAGGATTTTTTTATTTTTAATTATTAGAAGTTATACCATACTCTTCATGCATCAATGGTATAATCCAATTCTTGTTGTCAACGAACTTGACTTTCTCCTACAATAAAGGAATAGAGAGAGACAAGTTGTCAACAAACCCAACGCCAAAAGAAAAATAACCAATTACTAAAGTAAAAAAAAAAAAAAAAAGCTTGTGCTCATTTTCCATTGAAATTCCTGTTCACCTAACACATTTTATTTTATTTTTTGAAGATTTTATTTATTTATTTGCGAGCGATCATGAGCAGGGGGAGCAGCAGAGGGAGAGGGAGAAGCAGGCAGGCTCTCTGCTGAGCAGCGAGGCCAATGCGGGACTCGATCTCAGGACCCTGAGATCATGACCTGAGCCGAAGGCAGACACTTAACCAACTGAAGCCACCCAGGAGCCCCTCATGTAACACATTTTAAATAGGACCCTACTATCAGAAAATAGAACCGAGAACCATGATGGAAATGTGGGTGCATATACTCTTCTAGTTCCCTTTACTTTGCCGGGAACCGTTTTGGTTTTCCAAACTCAGGAACAGATCATCAGTAAGGATGACTTAGGTTCCCACTAAGCTGCGTCAGGGAGTCCGTGGCCGGTGCCTTGCAGAGGAGGCTGGCTCCATTTCAGGGGCTCACGTGGAAAAGCAATTCAAAGAAGAACGCTGGGCCGCCAGGATCAGAAACCTGCTCTTGACCTAGGAGGAAAATCACATGGAGCCCCACGCTAAGGGTCCCGAGTTACCATTCTGGGGCTGCTGTACCGGATCTCCCCAAACCCAACAAAAGCATGTTGTCTCAAGGTCGCAGAGGCTCAAAATCTGAGATCCAGGGTTCAGCAGCGAGAGTCCTTCCAAGGGCTGTGAGCAAGGCTCTGTTCATGCCTGTTTCCTAGCTCCCAGGTCCCTGGCAGTTCTTGGCTCCTTAGCTCTTGGAAGCAACAACCCCATCTCCACCTCGTCTTTATGGGGGTTTTGTGTCCTTGTCCAGATCTCCTCTTCTCACCAGGACACCAGTCATGTTGGTTTAGGGCTCATCCTAACAAGCCCATTTTCACATGATTCCCTCCAACTAAGTTCCTTTCCAAATACTAATTAAGACTTCCACATATGAATGGGGAGGGGATCCAATTCAACCTAAACAACCTAATTCTTTTTCAAAAGTGAGTGGGGTGGCTTGTATGGCATCTAAACTAGAGAGTTCAGGAAATGAAGTGGTTTGTCAGGACCAGAGTCATCTCAGGGTCCCTGGAGATGAACGGGGAGGAACACCTGCTTCCTTTAGCTTCCTATTTTGAGCCCAAAGTAAAGATCATAACTGGGAAGATTGGTGGGGAGAGAGGAGGTACAGAGGCCTGTTTTTACTTTTGTCTTTGTTCCTAGTGGCCGATGACCTGTCAGTATGACTTTGAGGTCCTCAGAGATCTTGAGCCATGGACAACTTACTGTGTTCGAGTTCAAGGGTTTCTTCCTGATCGGAACAAAACTGGGGAATGGAGCCAGCCTGTGTGTGAGCAAACAGCCGACGACGGTGAGTCTTGAGATACGCCACCTGTAATTCTGCCTCCTCCGAGCCTTTCAGATCGTTCTGGAGACCCCCACCCAGGGTGAGCGTTGGAAGGTCTCTTAGACAGAAACACATCTGGCTCCGACTGAAAGCCAGGTCAGCTCTCACTGATCAACTTCCTGCTGGAAGGAGACTACCCCCTTCTGAGGCAGCTCGTTCCCTCTTAGACCAAAGGGATGGATGGACGCGTTTTCCATTCATTGAGCTCTACCTCCTCTCACTCGTCCGCGCTGTACTCATCCTGTCCTCTCAGGCCTCCTGATGCAAGTCTTATCAGTCCTCCAAGAACACCAGCAAGGTCGAGCCCCACCACACTACCCAGAAGACTCCCTTCCCTGGGTTGCATGTCTCCAGCCCCTCAGACACATGAGGGAGAGCTTAGGGACCTTGATCACTGTCCCCACCAAGGGCCACTTGTCTTGGCTTCCAGGACCTCAACACAATTGCTCATAGTCCTCCCTATTTCTTTTTTTTTTTTTTTTTAAGATTTTATTATTTATTTATTTATTTGACACAGAGAGAGAGAGAGATCACAAATAGGCTGAGAGACAGTCAGAGAGAGAGGGGGAAGCAGGCTCCCTGCTGAGCAGAGAGTCCGATGTGGGCCCCTCTTTTTTTTTTTTTTTTAAGATTATTTATCTATTTCTTTGCCAGAGAGAGAGAGAGAGCACAAGTAGGTAGAGCAGGAGGCAGAGGTAGAGGGAGAAGCAGGCTCCCCACTGAGCAGAGAGCTGGATGTGGGACTTGATCCCAGTAACCTGGGATCATGAACTGAGCCGAAGGCAGACGTTTAACAGACTGAGTCCCCCGAGGTGCCCCTGCTCCCTATTTCTTAAAAAGAGAGAGAGAGAGAGAGAGAGAGAAGGAGGAAAAGAAGGAAGAGAGAGGTGGGAAGAGTACCATCAGCCTATACAGTGTGATAGTTTACATACAGACATACTGCATTTGCACACAGGACGATACAGTCTTGCCCCCTGGATGTCTGCACCCACACAACAGGCTTTTTTTTTTTTTTTAAGATTTTATCTATTTGTTTGTCAGAGAGATAGAGAGCACAAGTAGGCAGAGCTGCAGACAGAGGGAGAGAGAGAAGCAAGCTCTCTGGTGAGCAGGGAGCCCGATGTGGGACTCGATCCCAGGACTCTGGATCATGACCTGAGCTAAAGGCAGACGCTTAACCGACTGAGCCACCCAGGCGCCCCACAACAGGCTTTTTTATTATTTAAAGACATCCTCGGGAGGCTCAGCCAGCTCAGACCGTGGAAGGATGAATACACGCAGGTCCACTCCTGGCCATTTTTCATTACTGAGGCCCTCCTGGAAGCAAGACACTGACCTGGGGGCTGCAAAAATTCCTTCCAGAGGGAACAAAACTTTTCGTCCTCTGTATCACAGTGCAGTTCGGCGAAAATTGCAACGCTCTGATCCCATTGATTCGTCATTTCCGCTTAGCAAGTTCCTGAGTGTTGCTTTTTGTCATTGAACCTATTTCTCGCCCAGCTTCGCTCTGTGTCGTCTCATTCGCCAGAGAGAGCTTGAGGATCTTTACCCATCTGTTGCTTTGCACTCCAGGATACAGCTTCCATTGTACTGTTCATCTGCTTGCTTGCTGATCCCTGACCCATCAGAAGAGAGCAGACTTTTATATAAGCGGTGCTGGTTTTTTGTCCGGAAAGTCGCTATAAATGTAAATGTAAAGAAACTGGTAAATACCAGCTAAGATGTACACAGCCAGTGCCAAGTGCAATGCTGTGTCAACTGTGTTCGAGACGATGTCTGGATATTTCTCAAAATAAGAGCCCCGTAATCAGGTGTGCTTAGAAATGATGGGGCCTCTCAGAAAAGTCCCCCCGTATATGAGCCCCGTTAGCATATCTGATGTTTCAATATCCTTTTTGAGGATCAGCATTCCAAGGAACACAGCCTGGGAAAAACCAGCCCATCATATGCCATACTCACAACAAATCCTCCCTGTCCAAAAAAAAAAGGGGGAAAGCAGCCATTTTGAGCTCATTTCTTCTCAACGCCCTAATGTTGTTTTCGGTTATCATCCTTATCCTTTTTACGTGTTGGTAATTAGCCACTTAATTATCTGTTCCGGGATGTTTGTTATTTTTTCTGGAGATCCACTTCAAGGTCACTGGCCTGGAGTTTTCTGAATCTTGTTATTATTGTTGCTTCCTTGCTTTGTAAACGCACTAAGTGTTTGCCTGAATTCGGGATTCTTTTCCCATCTCACGGACACAGACATGCGAATCTTCTGTAATCGTAGTAGCACATTTTCTCAGGGCTACAGAGCCACACAGAAAATCCTGCTGTCCTCCAGAGGGACTTCTCTGTCGTTCTCTTTTTCTGTGGCCCCCAGTTCAGTGCCTCCCATCATCTGGAAGCCCAAGGTCAGTGTCGCAGTGGACCTGCCTGCATCTGGGCTGGCCGAGCCTCTGCAATGCCTTTAAATAATGGAAAGCCCTCCCTTCGTGGGCTGCATTATTTTCCAGGCCACACGTTATTTCTACAGCGCTTCTCTCTGGTTGGGTTTTTTTTTTTCCTCATTTTAATCCTCTCTTGAATCATTCTTACTTGAATCAGAATTCTGTACCTTGGGATCCCCCAAGCTGCTTGAGTCGTGAGAATCCCTGGTCTTAGAATTATCCTTCTTTTGGGGCGCCTGGGTGGCTCCATCATTATTAGTAATGACATTCTTAAAGTCACACTGTGAAGGATCCCTAAGGGTCCTGAGACCTTACTGTCACAAGACATGCTTTGAGAGTTACAATTTGGCCTATGAGAGAAATATTTCAAATATTTTGTGACTATAAACGATCACCCAGGAACTGACAAAACCCAAGCATTTTATAAAAGGAAAGCATAACCCATGGAAAACCTGCTTTTGTGAAACATTTTAGGTTTGTGTAGACATAGCTATCTCGTTTGAACCTCACAACTCATTTTTCCCTGAGAGCCTTCTAAGGATCTGCCCCTTTCACAGACTGGGAAATCAAGGCTCAGAGAGGGGAAGCAACTTGGCCAGCGTCACTCAGCTGGTAAATGAACGGGGACAGAGCAGGTTACCTCTCCTGTAATTTACTGCCCATGGACTCATTCCCCAGGTGAGCACAATTTCCCTGTGGGTGAAACAAGGAGAGGCAGTCCTCCAGGCCACACCGTCAAGTGGAACTGAAGGAAGTCAGAGAGCTTTCTGGGGAGGGTCTGACACCTGGGTCCTCCCCTAAGTCCCAGCGCGTGTGAAGCAATGACCCGTTCTCTCTTGGGGTGACTCACAAAGGCATCGTCTGAATTTTATTGCCATTGACCAGGTGTGCCTGTCAAGCATCCTTAAACGAGCGATGCCAACACGTCCTGGCTGGACCACAAGGGGACCGGGCGCTGCCCTCCAGGGGCTCAGCACAGTGTCAGCGACCGTGGCGGTCTCGGGGGCTTAATCGTTGTTCGCTGAGCGGGGGCCCCTCCGTCTGGCTCGCTCGCCATGTGACCCTACGTTCACCGAGAACGGACACATTTGGGTTGGATGTGCCGAAAATATGGGCTGGCAGGCGCCCCTCCTTAATTCTAGCAAGTGAGGCGACTTTGCAGGGGGTCTGGGAGGAGGACCCTTGAGCTCAGGGCCCAGGCCAGAAAGTTGATGATGACCAGACCACTGCCAGCATGAATGGAAACAAAGAGGAGCAAGGGAGGAGGGCAGGCCCATCCCAAGCCCTGCTTCCCACCACCGTCCCACCACAAACACCACATGGGTTCAGACATCGAACGCCTGTGGGCACCCACTGCTCAGTGCGGGGCTTGGGGGGCCGGCAGCCAACCCAGCCCCAGCGAACTTCGGTCTGCCCTGTGCAAGTAGGAATGGACATTTTCTCCGCAAATAAAATGACTCCCTTCTAGAAAGACTCGCTCTTAAAGGGCAGGGTTCATTGGCTTGTCCTCTCTGGGCCCCAGAAGCTTTGGGTTTTAATCGGGAGGATGGTGCCGGTTGCCAGGCTCCTGGCGTTGGGAGGGTGGGTGGCCCCGGGCAGCAGGAGAAGGCGCCTGGTGCTGAATGAGGGGAGCGGGGACCACAAATGCCCGGGTCAGAGACAAAGCCGGCTGGTGGAGCCGTAAAAACAGATTTTACTCAGTAAGGACTTGCAGGAGGGAAAGAGCTACCCGGGTGTTTTAAAGGACGAACAAGAGAGGGGCAGAGAAGAGAGGCTCGGGGAAGGGACACATCACAAAGCAGGTGAGAGGGGCCCCGGGCAGCGTCCACACTGCTCCATCGGCGTCGAATGCCACCTGGTGTTTATTAAGTCAGGCTCCCCCTTCCAGCCAAGGCTAGGGAACAGGGGGCCTCCTTCACGAAGATTGCAGTTTAGAGGAATGGCTGCAGGTCCTTGAGAAAGGTAGCCCTGGATTTTAGGAGATACAGATGCATCTTGAAGGGGCGGAGGAAGGATTCACAGGCATAAGCTTTGGATAGCAAAGGCTCTAAGAAAGGTGTTGGCAGAAGAGGCGGCGAGTTCTTTTGTGACTTTTTCCAGACAGAAACCTGCGGTGGGTGCTAGGTCGTGCCAGCCGCAAGGCCACTAAAGGCCACACTGGAGTTCGGGCGGGTGTCTGAGTGGCCAGTGGGCTCGGATGGTGGTGTCATGCCAAGAGCTTTTGCCCTTCTCAGGACAAAGCCCCACAGCGCATGCATTTCCTTGGGGCTCTGGGATCCCGTTTCCTGCGTCAAGGCAGCGGAGGCTCCTCCAGAAACCTGGGGAGGCGCATTGCTCAGAGTCCCTGCTAAGTGTTCTCCTCGTGTATGTCAGCAGTCGTGCCCGAAACCAAAGCTGGAAAAAGACAGGAAGGGGGTGGGGGGTTGGGGGGGCACTTGCTGGAAAACCCTGGATCCTTGAGCAGGTGTCCGTGTTTCCTCCTCACCGGCCCCCTCCCGAGATGGGCGTCTGGCCCCGTTTTCAGGGATTCCCACCGGATTGCCATGGTGATGGAGTGTGAGGTCAGGTGACCCAGGTGTCCTTGACTGCAGCCTAACGCAGCCCCCCCGCCCCCGCTGTCCCCACAGAGACAGCCCCACCCTGGACTGTGGCCGTGGTCCTGGCAGTGTCCTTGTGCGCGGCCCTCTTGCTGCTTGGCTGCTCAGCCCTGCTGTGGTGTTTGTACAAGAAGACCAAACACGCCTTCTGCCCGGGGAACTGCCTGCCACAGCACCTGAAAGAGGTAGGCCTGGGATGGGCCGGGTGTGGAGAGGAGGCCTTTCCTTGCCAGCTAGCTCTTGACGTGAGAGGGGACGACCAGAACTTAAAGTTTACCAGGACTCCTGTGGGAAAGGCCCTCCCTCTGGGAACCCTCTAGACCGGCAGTCGGCTAACTCTCCCCTGAAGGGCCAGATAGAGCAAATATTTTAGGCCTCGTAGCCCAAGAGGCAAAATCAAGATATTGTATAAGTACTTATAAAACCGCTTAAATGTAGGCATTTAAAACTCTTAAAACCGTGCTGAATTCCTGGTTTTCGCCATAGTTCGCTGACCCTGCTCTAGACTCACAGAGCCTAAAATTGCGAGCGCAGGGAGCACCAGGTTCCCCAGCTGGGTCTCTGGGAACGCTGGTAAGCGGGGCCACTCCTGTGTCTGCCCTGAGGAAGCTTCTGGTAGTTGCTGGCCCTCTTTGGCATCCCTGGGCTCGTGGACACATCACCCCACTCACTGCCTTCGTGTTCACGTGACGTCCTTCCTGTGTGTGTCTGCATCACATGTCCTCTTCTTCTAAGGACACCAGCCATATTGGATTTGAGGCCAAAGGAGTTCATTTTACCTCGATTACTTCTGTAAAGACGCCATCTCCAAATAAGTCACATTCTGAGTTAGCGACACTGGGAGGGGCGGCAGAGCCCCTTGGCTGGAGCTGATGCTTGTTTGAGAAATGATATGCTGTCCCCGTTCCACAGGCCCTTGGTCAGCACCAATGAGATCTGACTGGTCCAGGGCCCCGGGGCGGTCTCAGTTCAGAAATGACCCAGAGACACAGAGCCGCTTCCCTGAGTCCACACACAGGTCTCTCCCACAGACTTCCTCTTCTCTGACCCTCCTGTCTCCCTTCTTCTGGGTCCCTGACCGCACCGGCCTAGCCATTAACCTCTGCCTGTGAGTCCAGGAGGAGCCCAATCTTGGGCCACTTTTCTTCCAACACAAGAAGAGCACCAGTGGAGGGCTTCCTCCTCTCCACTGCCATTCAGGGCCCTCCGGATCAGCCCCTGGTGCTACCACAGGCCATTTTGGGTTTGCGCACATGTGCTGTGCCCAACTTCCCATGAACCATGTTTGACCTTTTCCCACTCCCTCAGCTGTGCCCCGGCCCCGCCCCTGTGGTCATGGTGTGAGCAGAGGCAGACGTGCTGGTACAGCAGGGGTGCATAGTGTGGGAGGCTGGGCCCCATGCATATATCTCCTCAGACCTCACCGTAGGAACTGGTGGGTCCAGCAGGCCTCATGGGGGTGACTCACTTCTGGGTGGCCCAGGCTCCCAGTGTCCTGGACTGTCTCTCCCAGTTCCCTATAACATCTAGGAGCTGTTTTTCCAACAGGGTATAATTCCCTGCTATGTGATGGCCTCACCTAGTCCCCAAACTGTAGTGACCTGCACTGTGATTCTCCTTTTAGGATTTGACGGATACTCCAGCCAGTATCTTTTCCCACCACAGACCCGTTGGGGACCTGCCACAGCACGTAGCCAGTTCACGTTCAATTGGTGTGTCATCATTGGCTGATCGTGCTGGGCCTTCATAGCCCTGCACCAACCAGCCACGAGATGTGGCTAGGGCACCCTGCTCCATGGCCCATACCTTCCGCAGGGCCCTCTCCTGCCCGTGGCAGCTGTCCTGTGTCACTCTGTGAATTGTATTCCCAGGGCAGAACATGCTGCCCCCAGACCCATGAGGCCCACCTAGCTTCGTGCTAGTTCTTAGCAGTGGGAGGGGCGGGATGGGATCATTGGTTCTTTACTTTGGAGAGGATGTCCAGCTCGCCCTACTCCATGGAACCCCTAAAACTTTGCTGATACGGCAGGTCCCTGAGTCCCAGGGAGTGTCCCACGCTCCAAAATGCATGTGCCCATCCAAGGCCTTGCCACTTCTATCCCTTCTGGTCCTGTGGCCATATTGTCATGATGGCTGACATGTCATGATAGTCTCGTCCCCAGACCACCCAGTTGGGGGCTATAGACTACCACCGGGAAGAACACAGTTCCGCGGTCAAGGCCCCTCTCTTCTCTACAGCTCAGTTTCTGAGACTACTCTGCTGCAAGCCAGGCCAGCCCCAGGGTCCCCAGAGGCTAGGGCACAAGCACCTCCACAGTGAGAGCTGGTCTGGGCCATGCAGCAGCCACGGTGGGTGGCAAGTGAGACACGTGACCCCAGGCAAGTGTTTCTGAGTGGCTAGGGACCTTTTAACAAGAGGTGTTCACCAGGATGGCAGTGCCAGAATGAGCCAGGAGGCCTCTGTGAACTCTTGAGAAGCAGGAAGAACAAAGCGGGAAAGGCCCATTGTTCGGGTGGAAAGTGTTTTGTAAGTGGAGATGGAGCAGGAAACACAGCTAGTCACTTGCTGTTTCTGCTTCTGGCTCGCCATCACAGAGACGGGTCAGACAGGAAAGGACAGATGGGACTACGTGCTTCCAGGCAAGTCAAAGCCAGAGATGGGCACAGCGAAGGGGTGGCTGGAATGAGCCCCCTCTGAGGCTAGAAGACTTTGCAGACCCCCCTGCAGAGCCAGCCACTGTGATGGATCTGAGAAATGCCAGGTGCTGGAGGAGGGGAGAGTTGGCGTAGGGGGGGTGGTGAGAACGAGGGAGGTGCCAGGAAACTATGTAGACTGGGATCGTTGCATCATGAAATTCACCAGCCTGATGCACGATGTAAGGGTCCCCTAACCATGGCCCGGAGAATAATTGCGAGTTCTGGGAGACTTAGTGGCGATGGAGACTTTGCATTGAAGCCATAGGGAGGTTTATCCAATAGGGTATATTGAGTGTGTGTGTGTGTGTGTGTGTGTCTCCCACCCGGAGACCAGCTTGGTTCTTGCTTTCCTGAGACTTACAACACGCCTTCCTCTGTTCTTCTTTCCTGTCCCCTTGCCCTGGAGAATCAAGAATGGCTCTAGTCCATTCTTACGAATCCACTGGACCCAAGGGTTTGGGGAGGTTCCTTCTTCCCCCAGTGTCCTCCTCTGTGCAACAGAGATTGGACATAATTCCTCTTGCCACCCACCCCCTTCCATCAGCGGCTGGAGACCCAGAGGGTGGGAGGTGGAAATCCTGACAGGTCCTCACCAGGGGCAGTGCCACTGCCAACGGCTTAAATTAAGTCCCATCAAAGGGCTGAGTGTGGAGATGACATTACGAGGGTAGCGAACTGTCAGGGGCAAAGCTATAAGTCAACAGCGGAGGGGAGAAGGAAAGCCACAGAGCCCTGAGACTGTCTCCACCTTGTCCTGAAGACACTGGTGGACCTCCAAGGAGGGAAATTGGCAAACTTGAAGTCAGCAGATGTTCGGGGAAACACAGCTGGGCATCTTTCATGGTTCAAAGAGCAGGAGAGACCCAGATGGTTAGACTCAGGTTCTGGCCCATAACCAGCCCCCAACCCCCAGCTCCCGGGAGGGAAACCGACAAGGCCGTATCCATAAAATGTGCTAGACAGAAACACTGCACAAGCCACGTGTGTTTTAAATTGGCTAGTAGCCATGTCTGGTTTTTTTTTTTTTTTTAAGTAAAAAAAGGAAGACGAAATTAACATTAATGATATATTTTATATAACCCAGTATATACAAAATAATCATTTCAACACATAATAAATAGCCTTTTTAATACTTGAAATACTGACAAAGCCTTTTTTTTCCTACAAAGCCTTCAGAATCTGGATTCTAACTAGCCACATTTTCGGTGGTGAGTAAGCCACACGTGACTCGTGGCTCCCGACGGGGCAGGCAGTGCAGGGCTCAGGGTTACGGACCCATCGGGTGCTGGCAAACCCCAAAGAGGGCCCCTAACCCAGCCGGAGGACACGTGGGAGATTCTGTTCTTTTTCCAAGACACATTTATGCCACAGCCTTGGGATCGGTCTAAAAAAATGTCCCTCCCAGTTTACGACAAAAATTATCAGAGGGGGACCTGATTGCACCATCAGAGAGTGGTCTGAGGTGCAGATTCATGGTCAAAATTTTAGAAATTGTGGTAAAACACACAGAACGTAAAATTTGCCATCTCGACCATTTTTAAGTGCATAGTTCCGTGGTGGTAAGTGCCTTCACACTGGGTTACACTGGTGGGCAGCCAGCGCCACTGTCCATCGCCGGAACTTTTCCATCATCCCACATAGAGTCTGTCCCCATTAAACAAGAACTCCCCCTCTCGCCCTCTGCAGCCCCCGGCACCCCCCATCCTTCCTACTTTCTGTCCGTGAATTTGACTCCTCGTGGGACCTCACATTTAGTGCAGTCATACAATATTCATCCCTTCGTGTCTGGCTTACTCCACCTAGCATAACGCCCTGCAGGCAGGTGTCAGAAATCCATTCCTTTTCAAGGCTCAATAGTTTTCCACGGTAAGGATAGACCACGCTTTCCTTTTCTGTGCCAGCACTGACGGACACCTGCGTTGCTCTTACCTTCTGGTTCTTTCTTTGAGACCCAGCTTTCTGTTCTTCTGGGTATGTATTCAGAAGTGAAATTTTGCACTGTGTGGCCATTCTATTTTTAAACTTTTGAGGAACTCTGATGCTGTGATTGTCACATGCTTTAAACCAGCCTTCTCCAGCCAGGAGTTCCATATAAAATCTGTGTAAGCCCAGAAAAAGGAATGGGGAAATTTTGATCACTGACTTTGTGTTTGTTTTTTTTTTTTCTTTTCTTTTTTTACCCCCCTCACAGTTTTTAGGCCACCCTCATCACAGTACGCTTCTGTTTTTCTCCTTCCCGCCCGCTGATGAGAATGAAATCTTTGACAAACTGAGTGTCATTACACAAGTCTCCGAAAACAGCAGGCAGAATCCTGGCGATGGCAGCACCCCCGGGGCCCCGTCTGGGCAGGGGTCCTCCGAACTGGTCCCCGAGGAGGGAGTGCACACCAAGAGGTACAGCACCCCCCTCCTTCTCTCGCCCACCTGTGAGGGTCAGCGGGAAACCACCTGAGCAAACCCCGCATCTAAAACTCTCAGATTCCAGGACAACAACTGAACAACCAAAGAACTAGATTTTAAAGGCTCACTTGGAAAAAAAAAAAAAAAAAAAAAAACACTCCACGGCGGGAATGTGTTGCTTTATAAAGGCCTCAATGATTAAAAAAAAAAAAATTCTTGATCACTAAGGAGTATAATTTCCAACCTCTTCTGCTCCCTACTCTGAGGAACAATTTTTAATTAGAAGAAACAAAAATACTTAAAATGAGGGATAAAAAACGAGATGCTGCAAAATCCAGCCAGATGGCCAAGAGATGGATCAAGTCACGGTGGCCAGCGAACTTTTGGGATTCTCAGGGATACTTGGACTGGGTTTATTTTGCTACCTGTACGTGTTCTATATAGTGCTGGTGCTCTAGTACAGTTTTATTCTCTAGTTTATCCGTGTGCGTGAACGGTACCCCGTTTGGGTACTTGGCAGATAGCGCGTGAGGCTGTCGTTTGCTATTTCCCGTGTCCGTTCCACAGGTATTCCTTGGTCCTTTCCTCCGTCACCTGGGAACAGTGCGGGGGTGGGGGGGGTCTCATGGTATCTGGGAGCTATCAGTCCAGGAAGCCTTGGGTTCCACTCAGGCACCTGCTAGCCTGTGATCCTTCAGCTTCCTCATCTGTACGTGGAAATCAAAAGACCTAAGGATTAGTCATATTCCATGAAAAGCACCACCCCCAGGGGCGCCTGGGTGGCTCAGTCGGTTGGGGTCATGATCTCAGGGCCATGTGATCGAGCCCTGTGCTGGGCTCCACGCTCAGGGTGGAGTCCGCCTGAGGATTCACTCTCTCGATCTCCCTCAGCCCCTCCACCTTCATGCTCTCTCTGTCTCTTTCTAAAATAAATCTTAAAAAAAAAAAAAAATTGGGTTCTGGGTGGCTGTCATTAAGCGTCTGCCTTCAGCTCAGATCTTGATCCCAAGGGCCCGGGATCAAGCCCTGCATTGGGCTCCCTGCTCAGCAGGAAGCCTGCTTCTCCCTCTCCAAACCCCCTGCTTGTGCTCCCTCTCTGTGTCTCTCTCTGTCAAGTAAATAAATAAAATCTTTAAAAAAAAAAAAAGTGCTGTCTCCGGTAGGCACTCAGTAGGCACTCAACAAATGGTAGCTCTTCATATCAGCGATACAATCTCATGGGTATGACCTTAACCCCACACACTGAGGTCAGCAACCAGTGTCCCTTCCTCTGTGTCAGATTGCCCAATAAAGCAGATTCCTGAAAGGCCACAAAAATGGGGAAAAACACTTCTTGGAATGACTTGACATTCTTAAAATGAAGTGTCATGGGCTCGGGAGGTTGGGGAAAGGTGGGGTGGGGGTAGGGCTGGAGACGAGAAGATCATTGACCTTCCTTGCACTCATTTTACATTTCAGTATTTTTAAATTATTTTCAGTAACACTGTGAGGGAGGGATCACCATATTTTCAGTTCTTTGTGCCCCTAGACATCTTAATTGGGGTCTGGGGCTCATCTTGAGACAGGGAGAGAAATTGATTCTCTTCCCCAGTTCAGCTCTTACTTCCTAAACACACATCGACGGGGGAGGGGCACTCAACTTGGGGAGGCATCTAGCTCAGGAGAGAAGAAAAGAGACACCCCATCACCCACCCTCTCCCCTCTGTGGACTCTCGGCATTCTTTTGCCTCCCCTCGCACCTGACTCTCCTGCATGTGTCTGAGGAATCTCCCCCCTTGCAGATGTGAAACTCTCCCTCTCTCTGGGGGCTCCAAATGCTGCATGCTCATTTCCCAGCCCCCTCACTGCTGGCCTCGAGGCTCCAGCCCAGCTTTGACTTAGAAGGTGGGCACCAGCAGCAGAAGCAGGAGCTTGGGGAGAAGTAGCCAATGGCCAACGGGGGCTCACACCAGCACAGTGACGTCCCCACCAGAAGGGGTCTGATTTGAACGTTGTTCCTGCTTGGGTCCCCGCTGAAGCTATTTCCCTCCAACTTTTTCAGAGAATCTGTGAGCTCCTCTCTATGTCCATCTCCAAACTCCTTTTCTGCTTGTATCAGCCCCGATCAGTTTCTCATCTTTGCATCTAAAACCCTGAGCAGGGGTCCCTGGGTGGCTCAATCAGTTAAGTGTCTGCCTGTGGGTCAGTTCTTGATCTTGGGGTCCTGGGATCGAGTCCCGCATTCGGCCCCCTGCTCAGCAGGGGGTCTGCTTCTCCTGCCTGTGCCTCTCTTTCCCCTCTCCCCACTCTTGTGTCCGTGCGCACACACTCTCCCTCTCCCTCCCTCCCTCTTTCTCTCTCTCAAATAAATAAAATCTTTAAATACTAAAAATAAAACTCAGAGCAGGCCTCCAACAGTGGAGCGGCATGGATGTGGATTTCCCAGGCCTAAAAAAGCATGTGCAGGAGGAAGGTGGGCATGAGACATCTCTCTGCTTGGTTTCCTAGCTGAGGGAGTTGACAGAAACACCTTCCCTCCAGAGGTGGGAGGTCCTGAGGGCTTTAGGGAAAAGGAGTTGAAGCCCAAGATTGGCTAGCTGGAGCCTGAGGGGCTAACAGCCTCCTACCGAGGATTGGAGACACGAGGTGCAAAGACAAGGGGAGAGAAAACTATGGGTCCTCCCTGGCCAAGAGTGGACAACTGATATCCTGCCCTACCTGGAAAGACCCCAGGTATTTTGTGTGGTAAGGGTGGAACCAGGATCACCTCAGCGACCAAAGATTCGAAGCACACTGAGAAATGCACTGTTGTCTGCTCCCCTCACACTGCCCACACTCCCCAACTCCCACTGCTGACAGACATTTGCTTAGTGCTGAGAAGCAGCCCCCACCATGTATTCCCCATCCCCCTAAGCACTCCTTTTATCTCTTGACCACCTCTTTAATGACGCGATCTGCTCTTGCCTTCAGCACAGTAAATAATGGACACGTCTATCCTTTGGCAATCTTGATGATAAGGAATGCCTATTTGACTTCCGTTTCCCACAACACGGCTGACTAGACAACCTTCCTGACCCTTAGATGAAATCAACTGAAATATTGGAGTAATGTTTAAAAAAAAAAAAAAACATTGTAGTTATTTCCTAACAAGGAAGGAAGGAATATCCAGAGGCCAAAATCCATAGAAGCTGACCAAGTGTCATGTTTCACCTTGAGGGCATTTGACAAACCCTGTGGGTATCAGTCCCTCACAAGTTCTGAGGGGACAGAAGATAAAGACCAGGGCTCACCTAAGATGGGGTCTCAAGGAGCCCTCTTCATAAATCTGAAATCCCAAAAAGCCATCCCCTCTGTGTAAGGACTACTAGGAATAAATGAATCCCACCCTGCAACCATATTTGTTTCCTAGGGCTGCTCTCACAAAGTACCACACACGTGGTGACTTAACAGAAACATATTCTCTCACAGTTCCGGAGGCCAAAAATCCAAAATCAGTATCACTCGGCTGAATTCAAGGTGTTCGAAAAGTCTTCAGAGTTTTTAGGAGACAATGTGTTCCTTCTTCTTCCCGAACACTGACTGTCCCTTGGCGGGTGGCAACCTCACTCCAGTCTCTGCTTCTGTGTTCACATGACCTTCTCGACCTTCTGTGTGTGTCTCCCTCTGCCTCGCTCTTCTGAGGACATTTGTGGTTGCATGTAAGCCCCACCAAGATAATCCAGGAAATTTTCGCCATCTTGAGACCCTCAGTTTAAGCACATCTGCAAAGACCCTATTTCCAAATAAACATGTTCGCAGGTGTCGGGGATTAGGACCTGGAATCTTGGAGGGTTATTATTCAGCCTACCACACATCCCTAGCTGGGACTACAAGGGCACCTTTTTGGTTTTGGTTGTATTTTCAGAGTGAAATGGCAAAATATATCCTCCCTGAGAAGTTATCATCTCAAATGAAAGGTGTGCAGCCCAAAATCACACTGTCTCAGTGGTCAACGAAAACTTCAGAGTTCACTGTTAGAAATCACAAAACCCAAAATGAAAGCCTCATGAGCAAGAGCCAGCAGAAACAACAAACAACTAAGTCAGACCCACAAAGACTTCGGACCCTGCTGTGCACAGAATATACAGCTTGCTTAACAGAGTTAAATGCACGTAAGGGGCACTGATAATATCAGGAAGGCACAAGAGGCTGGATCATTCCACTTTATTGTGGCAGCACATGAATCCCAAATCTCAATGACTAAGAGCAAAGATTTGTTTCTCACTCATTTTGTTTGTGGCTGAAGGTCAACTGTCAGTCTGTTCTAATCCCAGTGACCTCTTCATTCTAGGATCAAGGCTGAAGGGCATGCTAAATGGTGAGAGAAATGTCAGCCCCCACAATAGTTTTTAGAGCTTCTGCTTAGGCATAGAGCCTGTCATTTCTGGCCACATTCCTTTGGTCAAAGATATGGTCAAGGCCAATGTCAATGAGTGAGGAAGTACTCCTCCCTTGGGGAGGAACTGCAAGTCATGTAGTGACAAATGGAGGAATGTATAATTCTCTTACAAGGAAGGGAGAGAATCACTGGGAGCAATCATTACAATCTGCTACAGACTGAGAAATTGCCAAATTGATTTGGGGGGTGGGGTGCAAATAGACCTGTAGAAATGAAAACTCTAATCACTGAAATGTACAAGTCAGAGGATGGGTTGAACCACCAATTAGACACAGCTGAAGAGAGAATAAGAAAATTGGGCAGGAAGGGGAGTGTATCTGTCAGGGTTCAGAGAAACAAAACCAATAGGATGTGTGGACTTATATGTAGAGAGAGATTGGTTTTAAGGAATCAGCTCATAAGATTATGGAGGTTTGTGAGTCCAAAATACATAAGGCAGACTGATAGGCTAGAGACCCAGGGAAGAGTTGACATTTAGTTGAGTCCAAAAGCAGCCTTGAGAAAGAATTACCTCTTCCATGAATACCTCTGTCTTTTTGCTCTTAAGGCCTTCAACTGATTGGATAAGGCCCATCCACATTATGGAGGATAATCTACTTTACTCAAAGTCTACTGATTGAAATGTAAATTTCATCTGAAAAATATTTCCACAGCCATATTCAGATGCATCTGATCAAATACCTGAGTACTATGGCCCAGCCAAGTTAACATATAAAATTAACCGCTGGAAGGGTAGATCTGAAGTGAACATCAAGGAGGCAATATAGAGAAACATAGGATAAGAAAATGTGAGAGGT